ATAAATAAATAAATAAAGTAAGTAAGTAAGTAAGTAAGTAAGTAAGTAAGTAAGTAAGTAAGTAAGTAAGTAAGTAAGTAAGTAAGTAAGTAAGTAAAATAATAGCAATTAACTTTTTACAAATGTTAATAAGATTTCTTGTTAACTTTCAAAGACAATGCAGTTGACAGTGTTCTATAGCTACTGTACATACTCATTCCTCAGTAGGCTTCTGGGGACCCTGTCATGCCTATACATTTTTTTCACTTTTTTAAAAAAATTGAAACAAAATATATAATCTGACTTAGGTAAAATAATAGGCACGTGATCGGAAGTATCTGATAGCTCAATTGACTAGTGTTCTACAAATTAAGAATAACATTTGCAGATTTCAGCAAAACTATAAATTCTACTTTAACAGAGCATAAACATTGTTACTTTCCTTATTAATCAAAAATTGTTCAAGTAAAAAGATCTTTTTAATTTTTGCAGCAAGAGTAATACAAATATTTTACCTAGAAGATCCCTTCATTATACTGTTATCAGGGAAGTTGCATCCTTCATACAAATCCTCCTATCAGTATGTCATGACATACTCTCTATATTGTATAAGGTGAAAATCACGCCATATTACTGTCACAAGTGGCCTCTGTATGTTTGCTTTGTTTCCTTCCCTTCCAGATGGTGAATTTGCAATGGCAACATCAGAGCAGAGAGCATTACCATGGAAATGGGGCAGCTTCTCTTCCACCTCCCAATATTCCTAGAACGGTCCAATACCCACTCAAAATCTAACCATAACTGTATCCTTGAGAGCATTTTTAGCCTCCTCTTATTTTTCTACATTTAAACATTTAAGAATACCAAGAGTATACAGATGGGTCTTCCTGTCCGAGTATATTTTTTTAAGGTCTACATCAGGACGCTTGGCATGTTTTTCTTCGAAGTCTCCAGTTTTAGGATGTTTATGTCTGAAGATAAAATGTAATTTGTAATCTTCACCACATTTATCTGGTCCAAACATAATTGTGTATGATGTTTTGTCATAAAAGTATTCCTGTGGAACAAAACAGAGCACAATACTTCATTCAGAATGAAAGCATTCTACATTCCGTTAATTTGATACTTGTGCAACCTGATTATTTATTTATATTTACTGAAATGCACGAGTTACTGCACTCTACAATTATGACCTATTCCTTAGTTCTCTCTTTCAAAATGCTGGATACAGTACTATGGAGATATATAGAGGACCAATCAGTGTAAGATCTAAACATATAGTAGTCTAACTTCTTCTGTGCACTATAGTGATTTCAGAGTATCTAGCATGAAGACATTATCTCTGATAAATTACGTTTCTTTATTGTTCTACTCCTTCTTCTTTAGTTCCTCCCTTGCTTGCTGTCCCCTGCCAACCCAGTCACCACCCATGACTAAACCAGCTAAATTTTACACAGAAGTAAATCAGCAATCAAAAGACCTTTCTATACCTTTCTCACAAGATAATAAATATTTCCAGTGTGAACAGAAGGATCATTCAAGTGCAAGATAAGATAGACGGCACTGAAAATAAGTACATTTTCAACCATGAACCAGACTGCTCCAAATTCCCCCATTTGGACTGGCTGTGATTAATTTTAATGCAAAAACCAAAGTGTTCTGTTTGGAATATGGGTTGATGGGAAGACACTTACAAGTCTAAACATTGAGCAGGAAGTTTCCAGCGCCTTTAACCCACTATTTCTCTGTTCTAAATTATCTTCTTCCAAAACAATTCACTTGAAAATAGTGCTCTGGCTCAGTTTGCATCTAACAAATAGGACTCTTAAACCACTTCAGCAAAAAGCATACTGTATCTGTTTCTGCTGGAACCACATAACACTGCAGCCACCACTGGCCAAGAATGGGATATTTTCATAAAAATGTTTTCATTTAACTCCAATAATTGCAACACAATTTCATGTATTAGATTGAATGACAGTATGGGTATGATATTGAATGCCTGATGCACAATCCCAGTTGATCCTTCACCCATTTCACTTGCTAAATGGCAGTTTCCTACTGCCACTCTCAGCTATCCCACAGCAATTCAACTGCAAACAGAGTCAGGAAAAGTCTGTGAGCATCTTAATGTGCATGAAGTAATAACTGGATCAAGAACTAAAGCTTTAAAAGTAGCCATCCAAAGATATAAATTAACATAGAGTGACATTTGATCTGAAATGGCTCCCCAACTTTTTTCTTGAATATCTGAATCCTAATCTTGAATCAAGTTGCATTATTATTTAAAGAAAACTCCTAAGATCAACATAATCCTGAAGAGAATTTAATTTTATATATTAGTGTGTACAATGTAAATGACCCAATATTATCAAAACATCAGCCAAACTGCAACAAAATTTGGTATAAAATAAACAGAATGGGAGTGGCAATATTAGGTAATCTCAAACTAGAAATGTAAATCCTTGCTTGACTCATCTTTGCAGGCAAAGGATGAAGAACTGCCAATTTTTCATCCTTACCCTGTGAGAGAGCAAAATATTTTCTGGTGCTATCAATTCAGTGGTTTTACACAAATTGCATAAATTGTGCATGCTGTGCAAAATACAACAGCTGCTGTTTTGTTTTAGTCTTTAAAAATTTGAAACATCCGAGGGGTTCTCTATTTCTTCTGGGCTTGTTTTATGTGTGTATGTGCTTTCTCTTCTCAAAAGAGAAAGATATCCTTTATGTGGAGACACATTTCCTGTAAACTGAAAATAATTTAATGAGGGAGGAGGAAAACATTCTTAGGCTGAAATCCTCTGCTTAGTGTTGTAAAATGAAAGTTAGAGAAGGCCCAATAAATCTATAAAACCTATGGGGGAGCTGATTCACTAAATCCTTATAGATTCAATGGGTTTATTGCAGTTCTGACTTACTGCGTTAAGGAACAGGATTTCAGCCTGCATCTTGCTCTTGTGGAGCTTGAAAATTCCTCATCTAGACACTTTTTTGTGGCAAGACAATACAAATCAATGAACATAAGGGATTTTATTGAGTATTTCTTCCATCTCTATGTCATATTGTTAAAACAGGTTCAAATTCTTACTCAGCCATGAGGCTCAGTGGCAACCTTTGGACTTCATTGGGTTGTTGTGAGAATACTACTGGGAAACAAAGAACAGTATACAGTACAGGTATGTTATCGAGCTTCTTGAAAGAAACTGGGCTGTGAAAGGGCCTACAACTTTTCTAGTCCCAAGCAAGCACTGGAAAGACTTTATTCCTTTCCACAGTTTAGAGTTACAGTTTTAATTCTGCTGGTTTATCCTACTCGTGTGGTCTTTTGAGGGGTGGTACATTTACATTTTGATTATATTATTCTTTCTTGTGAACTACTAAGAATACCTTTTTTCTTATTTTTTTTCTTTCTTGCATACCACAGGGAGTAATTTTAAAGAGTGGTAGAGAAACAACTATATATGGTAGATATTCTAATTAAAGAAATACTGTCTTATTACTGTGTCAGATTAATCCCAAATACGTGCACAGTTTAGTGAAGAGTAGCAGGGATGTTACATTCAAATATTGATTTATCTATGAGCTGGCTGTACCTTATGAAGGGAGCATCTACTTTTATAAGAACCTCAACAAATTCCTTATACAATTTTCTACTCCCTCATCTGATAATCATTACACGCTTCATTCCCTATGGGTTCTGGAACACAACCAAGTACCAGTACCCAAAATCAGAGAGTTCTCCTTCCCAACGTTAGGACACATCTAATCCCACCCCCTCTTCCATTTACTACATACCAGATTCAACTCATCACTTTGGGAAAGAAGTTTCACGTATGCACCACCACAATCAATGCCATCTTGAAAATTCACTTCATACCTGCACAGCAGAAACACAAGAATGCTTTCTGAAAACAAGTGTTAATTAAAAGTTCACTTAGGTACTAGCTGTTCAATTACTCTAGCCATTGTGTGGAACTCAATATTAAAACAGTTGTCTCTTCCCATTTCCTCCTATGTTTGATCTAAAGAACAAATCTAATTTCTTTTAAAAGTTTAAAAGTTATGCAGAATTTCTTCAATGCTTATGCACAAAACAGAATCTTAATACAAACTCTAGTTTTGAAAAATATTTCCAATGTAAAGATAAACTTACTGTACAATCAGTGGGTTACTATCAAAAATAAATGGCTTTGTCAACATAGCAGATATTGCATGATGCTTTGCTACAGATTTCAGAACCAATCCTCTGTCACCAGACACCATGTTTTCCTTTAATGGTTCTATTTCCCATCTTCCTAAAAGATTACGTAGCAAAAGAAATGCAAGCAGAGAACATAGTCACGATGCAGTAAAAGCCATTCTATACAGGTTGTGAAAAATTTCCCCTAGATATATATATTTTTTTCAAACCTGAATATTTAGTTGTGTGTGTGTGCTATACATACAACAAACCACACTGAGAAATTCAGAGGAAGAGTTATAGTTCAGTGATAAAACATGTTTTGTACACTAATTTCAATTCACATTTCCAGGTGAGGCTCAGAAAGACTGAAACTGTCATAGAATATACAGTAGTTTGAAGGAACAATGAGATGACTTTGTACAGGGTATCTTTTAGTACTCCTTCACATGACACAGCTTACAACTGATGTATATTATGGTTGTTCCTGGAAGGCATGGAGCAGTGGCTCTCTAGAGACCCATGGTGCCTTAGCTGATAGCTGAAGCGGAATTGTTCCCACTAATGCTTGGATCTTTCTGTTCACACCAGTGGATACAACGTATGTAAGTACTATGTTTTTGAGAACAAAATGCAATGGGCTATCTGAAAAAGTACCAAATGTCTCTTCTCCTATCAGGTAGTCCAAATTAAAAGTTGCCAGAAGATTTTTTTTAATTTGGTGATCACTAATTTATAATATTAGAAATGTCAGACGTTAAATCATTATAAAAGGGGGGCATACTTTTATTAGCAACATACAAGAAAATACACATGGAGAGCTCTCGAATGAAAAATGAGAGGAAGTCCACTGAATCAGTGGGGATTTGGTGAGTCAACTCCTCTGTAAGTTCCACAGAGCCAGTCAACTTCCTCTAGTTGTGACTTAGTTCTGGATTTCAGCCAATGAATTAGTTCGTATGAGGCATTCACTTAAGATACAAAGCTTAACTTACCATCATATTTAGCAATTTCTTCATCTGTATCCTCCTTTTTAGTTTGAGAAAGAACCCATCTAGGAAGAAAGAAAACATTAGTGCAGACCACAAGAGATCCTCTGTTGTTATGTGCTGTCAAGTTGCCCCCAACTTATAACAACCCCATGATTTATTACATTAATGTTTCAATTAGAGATTTATCAAGTTGATTTTGACCAAGGCAGTTACTTCATTAGATAAATGTTTGGTGTGGTCTACAAGTGGAACAGATTTTACAAGACAGATTTCTGAGTTGGGAGAATGCTTCACACCACTTTGTGATGTTATTTTTAAATTTCTCTCATGTGAAATGCTTTTTGCAAGAAAGCCAGAGCATCAACCAGAAATTTCCAGTTGTATCTAGCTCAGCTGTAATATTCAAGCACCCACTCCAGCTGATAGCAGCAGGGGGAGAAATGGAACTGTAAAACCATGCAACTGAATTGCCTTAAATATTAACTGCCTCCTGACCTGTCCCCCATTTGACAATTTACACTCAAGCAGACCAGCTTTTATGAACTAGCATGTGAGTCTGCTTCTTCTCTTCTTTCTACCAATTCATTCTTTCTTTTATGGTGTGTCTTTCAGTCTCCAATCCTATGGGCCGGATTGTCTTGTTTTTAATCTGTGTGAACTGCTTAGTTAATTTAGCATTTTAACTGCTTAATCATCACCACCATCATCCAATGGAGAGAGGATCAGGACCAAGGATTAGAAAGATCACTTAAAGGGATGTAGCTCCCAGCTCAGTGTGAGGTGCACTAGCTAGGTGCTATTCACATCAGTATTGTATCAGTTTACACTAAACTGCCTCTTGAAGTGTACAAATGGAAACACAGCATACACATTCTCTAAATACATAATTATTTCCCTCCCTATGTGATAGATTTTTATAGAAATAAAATTTCTTACGTGCACAGAGAGAATTTTAAAATATGTGATTTTACCTACTATCCACTTTACAACCCTAGAACAGAAGCTTCTTATCTCATTCTGCTGCATATATAGACTGCAAGGCTTTTAATGCCAAAAGTACTAAAACTTAAGGCATTTGTATTCAAATAAAATATAACCAAAGGGGGAAAAGGTGTGTCAAAGCAAATGTATCCCACAATCATGCTATCTGAAAAAGCTGGCATGCCATCTTGTGTCAGAGAAAAATGCCACTTCTAAGAAGAAATTACAATTATACATTACTTTAAAAATCTGCTGCCTAGTAAGGAACATCTCCTTATCTAATGAAAAGATATAAATGTGGAGTCCACACACAGAGATGTATATTGATATACATTAAACACATTAATGAGATGTGCTGTCATTTACACGTAGCTATCAAATTATCTGAATGGCCAATATTCATAAATTTAAAGCTCTGTTTAGATGCTCTTACCCAGACAACATTGCATCATCAAACGTTTCAGCAAAGTATACTTCTCCGGTAGGTTTCGGACTCTTGTACACAACCTATCAAATGGTCACAAAAACACATTTAGAAGCAAAATTGCCACTTTCATGTGAAATGCATTAAGGCCTTAGAAAGATCTTCCAAATCAATGCTATCTAATATGCTGCAGAAAAAGAGGTTACCTACCTGCAACCATAGTTCTTCTAGTGGTTCGCTGTGAATTTACACAAATGGGTTGTTCTGCGCCTGCGCTGAATGTCTCGGAAGATTCTAGAGCTTAAAAGTACAAAGTTAGTGGGATGTTCCCCTGTGGAGTACATGCTCCACCCACCTAAGATTACCCTCAATTCCTAGAATTTGTCTGCCAGGAAGAAGAATCATTTAATATAACCCGTGACAGACAGAGGAGAGGATGGGTGGGATGTGTAAATTCACAGAGGACCATTAGAAGAACTATGGTTACAGTAGGTAACCTCTTTTTTTCTTCTTTGTGGCCTCTGTGAATGCACACAAATGGGTGATTAGCAAGCTTCACTTGCTGGATAGTGGGATGTCACGGTAGGAAGGATGGCATTACAAATCTGCCAAATCCAGATCATTGTGTGCTCTCACATCTAAGCGGTAATGCCTGACAAAGGTCAACAGGGTAGACCATGTTGCAGCATGACAGATGTTAAAAATCTTGATTCCACGCTGGAAGGCAGTAGATGTTGACAGCGCTCTAGTGGAATGTGCATTCAAATGATCAGGAGGTGGTTTGCCTGATAGTTCATATGCCAGAGAAATAGTTTGGACTATCCATCTGGAAATGGATTGTGATGAAGCTGGGCCTCCCTTGTGAGGTCCATGGAAATATATGAAAAGTCTGTTAGTTTTCTTGAAAACCTTAGTTCTGTCTATATAAAATTCAAGAGAGCGTCTTACGTCTAGCATGTGAAGCATGCGCTCTAGAGAGGTTGATGGTGATGGGAAAAACGATGGTAATATAATTGGTTGATTTAGATGAAATTCTGATACAATCTTAGGCAGAAAAGAGACATCAAAATACAAAGTCACCTTGTGTGGATGAAATTGGCTAAAGGGTGGATCAGAATGAAGAGCAGAAAGCTCACTGGCTGTTTTAGCAGATGTTATAGCCATCAGAAAAGATGTCTTTAGAGAAAGTAACCTAAGATTTGAAGAGGCCATTGGTTCGAATGATGGACGCATGAGAGCATTAAGGACAATTTGTAGTGACCATTGGGGAATAATACGTTGACATGGTGGACGGATGTTATTGAGTCCTTTGAGGAATTTTTTAACTGTAGGGCGAGATAAAACTTTTGCTGACGTGGAGTTAACTGGTTGATGGGCAACGGTGGCTGATATATAGACTTTTAAAGTGGAATGAGAGAGTCCAAATTCAAAGAGATGGAGTAAGAAGGTAAGTAGTGTCCTCAAGGAAACAGGTATTGCAGGTACGTTATTTATTTCCGTATAATTAAGGAAGGCTTTCCATTTATTTGCATATAGAAGCTGAGTTGATGGTATTCGCGCTCAATCCAAGATGCGCTTCAAGGCGGGAGTATCCTCCAAGCTGTCAAGTTCAACGATGAAAGGTGTGGATGGTAGACCATCCTGTCATTCTGAATTAGGAGGTCGGGATCACATTCGATTGAAAGTGTCGAGGGCGGATTATAATTAAGGAAGGCTTTCCATTTATTTGCATATAGAAGCTGAGTTGATGGTATTCGCGCTCAATCCAAGATGCGCTTCAAGGCGGGAGTATCCTCCAAGCTGTCAAGTTCAACGATGAAAGGTGTGGATGGTAGACCATCCTGTCATTCTGAATTAGGAGGTCGGGATCACATTCGATTGAAAGTGTCGAGGGCGGATTAATTGTCCGTTGTATGAGTGGTATTGGTGGGAATAGATAAAGTAATTCCCTGTTCAAATCCGTCATGAACGCGTCCCTGATGGAGTTCTCGTCTGCTCCAGCTCGAGAGCAATAGACACCACATTTGCCATTCGCACTCGAAGCAAATACATCAATGGTAGGTACTCTCCAATGGCAACAGAGTTGATCGAAAATGGTATCCCTGAGGGACCACTCGTGAGTCCTCGATGTCATACGGCTGAGATGATCTGCTATGTAACTGTTGTCCATGGAAATATGTACTACAATAGGGAAGATGTGATGTTGGTAACACCATTCCTACAGGTTGATGGCTAGGTACAGGAGGGATAAGGAATGTGTTCCTCCCTGTTTGCTTACATAATATAGGGCAGTTGTATTGTCCATTGCCAGTTGCATCACTTGACCCTCAATGATTGGAAGAAAGGCATGGAAAGCTCTGATGACTGCTAAAAGCTCAAGATAGTTGATGTGAAGTGATTGTTCTTGTCCATAGGCCATGAATTTTGTGATGAAAACAATGTGCTCCTGAGCTGGACAGGCTGGAGTCAGTGGTGACCTGCACTGTCCGATGGAAGAGCAGGAATGGTCATCTGACACAAAGGTTCAACACTGATGTCCACCAAGTGAGTTGACTGGCTAACTCTGGTGTCACAGTCAACTTCATGGATGGGTGGTCTATCACCAGGTTGAATAGTGGCAGGTAGCACAATTGGAGCGGCCTCATTGTGAGTCGGGCATGCTAGATTACCGCTGTTGTGGATGCCATGAGCCTGAGGAGGTGCTGAACATGATGACCTAGAATGGAAGTTTGAAATCAAAAGGGGCAAATTGCCTTTTTTAACCTTATAACCCGTTCCAGGGGGATGAAGGCCCTGGCTTGCATGGAGTCGAAGAGGGCTCTGATGTAGGTGACTGTCTGTGCTGGTTTGAGATGAGATTTTGTATAGTTTACTTTGAGTCCGAGGTTCTGAAGTGTGTTGAGCATGATGGTTGTAGCTCTCACGGTGTTTTGGTACGACGTCGCAACTATCAGCCAATCGTCTATGAATGGGTAGATGTTTATACCCTGAAGGTGGAGATGCACTGTGACTGGTGCCATGCACTTTGTGAAAGTCCTCGGCGCCGTGGAAGGTCCGAATGGTAGGGAACAGAATTGGTACATGATGTTGAATTGGAATCTGAGAAATATTTGATGAGATCAATCACAACAAACCATTCTCCCCTTTATCTTGGGTTTTCGAAAAGGCTGGCATTGATGGGACTCATTTCAATTCTGGAAAGGATGATGTCACTGGTGGTGGACCTTGAAAGGAGTTGTGATCTGAATTGTCGATATGGTTGGAATCTCTGATACAATTGACATTGAAATGATTCTGGATAGAACTGAGTCTGTCTGTATTGAGGTTGTTGGTATTGAAAGGATTGTTGGTTGGTGTATGATCGTGCCGTTTTCAGTATTTTATAAAGGTTTTCCATAGTCTCGTCTGTTTTCTGATTAAAGAAAGCTGTGCTGTCGAAGGGAAGGTTTTCTGTCCTTGAATGACATCATTAGACAGTCTGGGGGATCTAAGCCAGGCGTGTCAGTGCAACGCTACCGAGGATGCTAGGGTCTTTGATGCCACATCGGCCCCATGTCTAGCCGCAATCCTTTGTTGTTTTGCCAGCAAGGTGACCTCGGTATGGGCATTAATCAGTTCAGTTTTGATCGATTCCAGATTCCAGTATCAGGAGTATTTTGTTCCAAAGTTGGTGCTGATAAGCGCCCATCACCGCTTGATAGTTGGCGACTCTAACTGAAAAGGCTTGGAGCGAATAAATTCTTCTACCGATGATGTCAATTTTCCAATCCTCCTTATAGTATGGGCCACTGAGGACTTATTTCTGGCTCTAGACTGGTTGGACTCAACAATTATAGAACTGGGAGTAAGATGTTTGGCCAAGACGCATCCGTTCCATGCGTCTTGTACAGGTTTTCAGTCCGTCTTGAGATGCGTAGTGTAGATGGTAGCTTGTCCCATGCTTCCTTGATTAGTTTGAGCATCGATGGAATAAAAGTAAGACTAAGTGGAGGTGTCTTTTCTTGATTGATGTCGTCAAAGATTAGATCTGCCTCAGGGGATGGAGATTCTTCGACATGTAGTTGTAGGGATTTAGCCATTCTGAATATCTTCTGTGAATAAGAAGTGAAATCCTCTGAAGGAGATGGAGGATGATTATCAATAGCATCTGAGGTTGGTGTAGGAAGGTTGGGTGGTGATGCTTCAGATGATTCGGATCCTAGTTCTTGGTCAAAAGAGGATGTAGAAGATGATGACGTTATTCTGGGTCTTGTTATGGTCAGGGCCGGAGGAGAGGACTAAGTTCAGAGGGAAGACCGAGGATGATGTGGTTCCGGTTCTGTTGTTGGATGGGGACTGGTATATGTGGACCGAGGATGATGTGGTTCCGGTTCTGTTATTGGATGGGGACTGGTATATGTAGTACCCTGAAGAGGTTGTTGAGTTTTAGAAGATTGTCTGAGGCATTTGGAATGGTCGTTATGTGACAATGTTGAACATTGCAGAGCCAGTTTAGAAATAGGAGGTGCAGGAGGGGCCGGTACCGGATGTTGGGAGCGGTGTCAGCAGTGTGGTGGCGACGGGGATGGTGATTGAGGATATCCTTGTTGGTAAGATAGTGCATATCACACATGCTTCAGTTCTTGATAATATGGATGTCCTTGGTATGCTTCCATGTGATACGGATTGCAATACAGGAAACCTTCCTCCACGTCAAAATGATGGTACCGTGGGAAATTGGTATACTGGTAGTACTCTCTGTATGGAGGCATATATCGAGGAGGAGAAATATGCTTCCGTTTCTCCCAATGTTTTTGGGGAGAGTGTTGAGAAGAGTCCAATCCTGAAAGTTGGATTTCAATCACCCGCCTGATGCAGGGCTAGAATGGGCCAAGGCCTGGCTGGATGGTGCATCAGCCATTGAAAGGCTAGTGTGTTTCCGTTTCTCCTGATGTTTTTGGGGAGAATGTTAAGAAGAGTCCGATCCTGAAAGTTGGATTTCAATTCCCCGCCCTGACACAGGGCTAGACTGGGCCGAGGGCTGGCTGGATGGTGCATCAGCCATTGAGAGGCCAGTGTGGGCAGATAGGCTACCAGTTGACACTGGAGCGTAAGGCAGTGGTAAATGAATCTCCTCCCTCGATGTTGATCCTCGAGCCTCTCTCGAGGACTCCTCCAGAATTGTTGATAGTAATGTTGTTTGTGGAGGCTCGATATGGACTGATTTGATTCTTTTTGCCCTTTTCATTCATGGCCGTCTCTCAAAGGTGAGATCGTAGCCTTTGGAGCCTTTGCTTAAGTGCCGGTTTGGTCAATTTTTTACATGCTGCACAAGAATGGGTTGGATGTTGCTCATCCAAGCAGAATAAACAGCATTCATGGCCATCAGATACAGTGGTACCTCAACTTGAGAATGTCCCTACAGAAGAACAATTTGAGTTAAGAACGGCTCCGTTCGCAAAGAAGTTGCTTCGACTTGAGAACGGAGCCTCAACTTAAGAACCAAAAAAAGAAAACAAAAAAGAGAAAAAACCGTTCCTGCCCTTTTTTGGACCTAAGTTCACCTTAGGTCAAAAGAAGAAAAATTTTCCCCCTAGTGGTAGATACAGATTAACCGGCTTTGCATTAGTTCCTATGGGAACTTATTCTTCAACTTAAGAACAGTGCCTCGACTTAAGAACGAAAAACAGCAGATATGGATTAAAAAGTTTTCAATGCATTCCTATGGGAAATGGTGCTTCAACTTAAGAACATTTCGACTTAAGAACGCAGTCCCAATATGGATTAAGTTCTTAAGTCGAGGTACCACTGTAATGGCATCTTATTTGAACAGCCAACACACCTTTTAAAAGGAGCTGTTGAGGCCATAAAGAATGGGAAACTAGAGGGAAAGACGGCTGAAGAGATTTGGGGAGGGGCAGGAAGCCAAAAGCAGGAAAGGCAAAGAAACATAACTAACTGACAGGGGAACATAGATTAGTTGATTGGAAAATAGGAAGGTATCAACTTAGGTGTTGATTAGAAGAGGAGATACTAATATAGTCGCTAAAAATCGCTCAGAAACACGCTCTATTCTTCTGGAGATCTGATCAGCATGGCAGAAAAAAGGAACTGAGGGGAATGTATTCTCGAAGACTTTCACGGTCGGGATCTGATGTTTGTTGTGGGTTTTTCGGGCTCTTTGGCTGTGTTCTGAAGGTTGTTCTTCCTGACATTTCGCCAGTCTCTGTGGCCGGCATCTTCAGAGGACTGGAGAGGAACTCAGTCCATGCTCAACAGAGGACTCCAGTCCTCTAAAGATGCCGGCCACAGAGACTGGAGAAACGTCAGGAAGAACAACCTTCAGAACACAGCCAAAGAGCCCGAAAAACCCACAACAACCAACTGAGGGGAATCTTAGGTGGGCGGAGCATGTGCTCCACAGGGGAACGTCCCACTAACTTTGTACTTTTAACCTCTAGAATCTTCCGAGACGTTCAGCGCAGGTGCAGACCAATCCATTTGTGTCCATTCACAGAGGCCACGAAGAAGAACAAGTGGTTTTCATATTAACTGTGTATTTCAAGTAACTGTGAATTTCTAGCAGAACTGGATAAAGCGGCTGCCTCAGGAGGCCGCACACAAAAAGCAGCAAATTGTTCTACTTCACCCAAGGGCCCTCTGCTGCTGGGTTCTGACATTGTCTTAATCCCCTTCATGCCTCTTTTATTTTCCCAGTATTGAACAGCTTTAGGTTTAATAGGTTTTTTTTCAAAACAAAATAATGACTGAGGTTTCAATCTTCATTTTTTTATTTTTTTTATTTTTTTATTTATTTATTGTCATTGTAAGTATATACACAGTATACCCATACAATGAAATTCACAGACACCCAGAGACCAGACACATGCACACACATAAAATTCTCCAAACACTCCCCACCCACTAAAAAATCCCCCAACACTCCCCACCTACTAAAAGTCCCCACTAAAAATACAAACATCTACACCGCAGGCTAAGTAACACAGTCCAACTAACTATTCACTACTGGTGGGCTTTAAGCTCATTAATAAGTGCAATTATAGCTCTGGGATAAAAACTATTCAGAAAACGTGTGGTCCGAGTCTTAATTGTTGAAGGCCAGAGACTTGATTTTTTCCCTAGAAGAGTATACAAAGATGTTCCAGACAGAGCATTTCTTCACCAGCTGATACCTGACTGACTCGTCACTGAAATTACCAGCCTTTTTTTACTATCACTTGCTGCAGTTTATTCACTGACAAAATCTGAAACTTTGCATGCCCTCTTCACAACGAAGTTTATATTTGTTTTAGTTTGTTCTAGAAGTTTAGTGCTCTGGTGCTCTCTCTGAAAGGCCCCCTCTTCAAAGCAAGGCTTATTTTTGTTGGAATCTTTCTATCTTCAATTTAAAAAACCTCTAAAGAGAAGTGCCAGCAGGGGAACTAATTTCTGCATATTTATTAAAGGATTTGAATTTTTCTTCTTCAGAATAGCAGTATTCTAAAAAGTAGATGTGGTGTCCACCCAGGTCATGAATATTCATGTGCTATCTGCATATACCAATGGGAGTGCTGGAGGGCCGGAATCATGAGATATAAGAGAATCAGTAGGAGGAGGGGGAGTTAGGGAGTTTGAGATTAGTAGAAATCATTTTTGGAGTTTGGGCGGGAGAATGGTGGCTGAGGGGATAAAGGAGAATGTTTGTTTAAGAGTTAACAACATTGCTTGTTATGTCAACATCTGTAACAGTAAACAATTTCTATTTGGTTCTTTTAAAATGGCATATGGCCTGGACCTTGATCATTAATAGTACATAATGTTGATGTAATCAACTGGTGGCAGCTAAAAGACACGTAGCGTGAGATCTTAGTCTGGTGAAACAAACAGGGGCCACGTGGGGATCGTGACAGTAGCTTTCAACTGAGAAGGCTGGGTACAAATCCTGGTAAATGCCAGGAAGTCAAAGTTTAATGCGTCAACATTTACATAGAAAATACAGAATACACCATAAGCTTTCATCATCCTAGAACTGCAGAGCTGGATCATCAAGTCCAGCCCCTGAAGGAGGCACAGCCAGATGCCTAAATTGCTGAGCTATCTATCATAAATAGACTAACTGGTAAAATAAACACAGGAAACCTAAGAGTCTTCATGTGTTCCTATAATTTGGATCTATGCAAACATCACATATAGCATAAGGCTGAAATAATGTAACTGTATGTAGTAAGTTGCAACTAGAGCAGACCCACTGAATCCATGGGAATTTTGTAAGTCAACTTCGCCATACATTTCACTTATTCAATGGGGGTTACTCTAACTGCAACTGAACAGGCTAAGCAACAGGATTTCAACCACAAATTCCTTCTTTGAAAGGCAGCAGCTGTGTGCTAATAATACCAGATTTTAATAGTTTGAGGATCAAATAATACATAAAACTGTTACACTATTCTATAAGTCAGGCAGTGAGATTTTCCTCTTCATTCACAATGTAGTTTCTGAACATTACAACTACTATGGGACAGGACTGAGTCACACAGGCAAAAGCTAGGCAAGAATGTAAATATCTTACAAGCAACAATACAGCATGCACTTTGATGCATGGTATATGGTTATTATCTCATACTAGATAGATGGACATTTTCTCAAAGTGGATAGGACTATGCAAATACTGAACAGCTATACTATTTTCCTGAAAAAAGCCAGACTCAGACATTTTAAGTGTCAGAACAGAAGGAATGTGGCTTCTCTTTACAAAACACTGACAGTTTCACCATTTTTGTCAGCAAGCCCAGCCTACAAGATATGATTCATTTCACCGTGAATAGGTTTTCCATTTCAGCTTTCCTAAACTCATTAAATGGTTTGTTTCTCAAGAGAGGTATGGAGAAAAACTTGATGGCTTTTCTTTTCTTTAGGAAGAAACTATAACAACCTAACTTAAAAAACACCTCTTTGACCAGACTTGGGCAAAGTGCGGCCCGAGGGCCACATACAGCCCGCGAGCCGCTCCTGTCCGGTCCGCGGATAGTTTTGAACATCAAAACCATTTATAGCTTTTTGTCTAAAGTTGATCAGTTGCTCATCTTTAACATATCACAAAAAAACCCTCTTTAGTATTTGTGAAGATTAACAAGTTAAAAATAAAAACAAACATAACATCACTGTTTTATTTTATTTTTAAGTAAAGTTGGTTCGGCCCCCGAACACAGTTCAGATTTTTCATGTGGCTCCCCCTATAGAAATTAATTGCCCACCCCTGCCTATAATCTGCTTGCTACATGAGTGCTTATACACAAAGAAAGGATCAAGCATGAAAACAGATAACCTGATTGCAAGTTTCTTAAGAGAATCTACAGAACTTTGACATCTAAACTCTGTATCTTAATTAAATCCCAGAACAGAGAAAGGCTGGTGGTATATAAATTTTAAAAAGCTCAACAAAGTGAAATACACATGAGTTCCTAATAAAGTTTTTATCATGTATTAGCTAGTCTTACCTCTAGTGCTGGTCTGCTTTTATCAACATTAGCATCTTCTGAATTCTCATCAAAATTCTCTACTTCAATTTCTGAGTCTTCAGGTTCTGCACTTCTTGAAGTTAAGACCAAGACACTCATACATAGCCAATTCCAGTGAAAGTGCATTCTGGCTACCTGTCAAATAGAATTATGGCAATATATTCTGTCTTTACTACAAGTCGACCATTCACACTCTCTATCACCAAATAATATATCTGGAATAAACTGAAAATAACTTGAAATCAATACAATTTTTTAAAAGCATGACTTCCTAAGTCAGTAAATGATGCAATGGAAATTGATTGCATCTGTATAACAAATGTTTTAAAATACTACTAACGTAAGGGCAATGTTGTCTAATTGTGTGATTCTTTGGGGATATTTTTTTTAATTATATACAACATCTGGGGTTGCATTTTGAAGATGAGCACATGGAGAAAGAAGCTCCAAATTCCAAACAAGCAAAGACATACATACCTGTACCTTTGTCCCAGAATGGTTATAAAGATCATTATGCTGACAACAAACAGCACAATTTTGTATTTATGAAGTTTTTCTTTTGATTTTTTGAGAAGCATATTTTACTTTCTGGCAACTAATTTTATAGATGTTCTTTTTGCCATTCACCTACCACTTTGGTTTCCTTCCGTACAGTTTGTGTTGTAACTTTAGAATTCTAATATTTTTCACATATTATGACATCATTGGTATTATAAACATTAGTGCCCATTATTTTCCTATCATAGAGAGAAACTAAAGCCTCACTGAGAACACTGGTTCAACTCATACAGGCTCTAATCTCTGAATTTCCTACCCATTCTATTCTTATGGTCTTCCTATATGCCAAGTCAAGGAAGACAAAATTTGGCAAGGATGGCCAAAGCTCCAACCATTTACAGTACATTTACTATTAAAGGAAAATATTTAAATCAGTTTTTTTCTTCTTCAAATTTAACACATATAGTCATTGAGCTTTCCATACATCACAGCTACGTGAAGGCAGCTTTACATGCAATGGACAAAATTCTGTTGGTGTAGTTATGCCAGCATAAACCAGATTCAGGCACTGGAAGTAATTAATTTAAAGCTTCCTAAACCTGGTCTCAAGTTCCAGGGCTCCTTCAGTTTCCCTCTTGCCCTAGGGAAGTCTTTGGGAACCCCTGGATTGGAGGAGGGAAGACTTTAATAGTCATAATAGCAGCTGCTGGGATTGGGACCCTCTAGTTAGTGCAAAGAACTACATTCATAGCTAAGCTCTTGCTGCTATAAAAAAGCAATTATTCTTTCCTGCAAAGAACTCAAGGTTTCTCCTCCAGTATATTTCTCATGTACCAACACTACTATCACAACCACTCTCTAAGACATTCTAAGACAAAGCAACATCACTCAAGGTCAAGACGGATGAAACAGGAGCTTCACTATAAGATATATAAAATTTTCCTTCCAAAGAAAGTTGCCTACTTAGTCTGCCTACAAGTGAAGACCTGCTTATCTTTAATGATCAACTGCCAAATAAAAACAGTTTAATATGCAACTTTCAGAGTAGAAAATGTGTACTAGGGCGTATTATGATAAAATGACTAATTTAACCTCTTATGGAAGCTCCACTTCTAATGATAAGCTAAATGTATTATCTATTTTGACCCTTAGTCAGATTCAACCCTCATTTTGAATTTAAGGCTTCATCCCTCCAGCCCTAGTCTAGCACTCTAAATTTGTGTCTTTTCAGGCTCTAAATCTGCACAAGCTTACAACAAAGGACAGCAAAAGTCAAAAACTAATCAACCAGCTATATACACACAAAACCAAACCCTCAGGTTTGTGCTGAAATACAGAGGATTCAATTCAGGCTTACAGTACAACTCTACTCAGGATAGTTCTGCTGAGCTGTGATCAGGACTGTAGCCTAAGTTATATACATTTGTTGTTGTTGTTACATGCTGTTAAGTCACCTCTGACTAACAGCAACTATGAATGAGCAATCTCCAAAATGTCCTACCCTCAAAACCTGCTCAGCTCTTGTAAACTCAAACCTGTGACTTCTTTTAGGGAATCAATCCATTTCATATTTTATCTTTTACTTTTCCTGCAGTCTTCCATCTTTCCTGACATTATTGTCTTGTCTAGCAAATCTTGCCTTGTTATGATGTGTACAAAGTATTACAGGCTTGGTTTCAATATTTTTGCCTCCAAAGACAGTTCAGCCTTGATTTGAGCTATGTGGCACAGTGGTTAAATTGCAGCACTGCAGCCAAAACTCTGCTTATGACCCAGTTCAATCCCAGGTAGCTGGCTTGAAGTTCACTCAGCCTTCTTTCCTTCCCAGGTCTACAAATTGAGTGCCCGGCTTGCCGGTGGGGAAGCAATGTGTGGGCTGCATAATTAAACTGTAAATCTCTCAGAGAGTGTTTGGGCTGGTATATAAGCAGCAGCATGCTTTTATTTCTAGGACCTACTTGTTCATTTTTCTGGAAGTCAAGGGTATCTGTAAAGCTCTTCTCCAGCACCATATACCAAGTGAATTTCCCCCCCGTCAGCTATATTTACTGTCAGATTTTCACACCTATACATGGTGATCAGAAATACAAGAGTGTCAGTCCTGGTCTCCAGTGACATAATTTTACACTTGATGATCTTTTCTAATTCCTTCATTGCTGCCCTTCCAAGTATCAATTTTCTGCTGATTTCTTAGCTGCAGTCTCCATTTGGACTGATGACTGAACCAAGATACACAAAGTCTTTAACAATTGCAATTTCTTCATTGTAAGTTAAAGTTCTGTAGTTCTTCTGTAGTCATATTTTTGTCGTCTTAATGTTCAACCACTGTCCTGCTATAGCACTTTAACTTTCACTAAAAGTCATTTCAAATCAATGCTGCTTTCTGCTAGTAAGATGGTATCAACTGCATATTTTAAATTACTGGTGTTTCTTCCATCAATTTCCATTTCTCCTTCATCTGCAGTTTTCTGTACGATATGCTCTGCGTAGAGACCAAACAGATAAGTAGATAAATGCACTCTTGTTCCACCTTTGCCTACAGGAAACCATTTCACACCATGTATACCTGGACAGTAAAGAAAGCTGACAGGAAAAAAAAGTAATTTGTTTTAAATGTGGTTCTGGAGGAGATCTTTGTGGATACCCTGGACTGCCAGAAAGACAAACAAATCAAGTCTGAACTATTTCTGAAGGCAAAAATATTAAAACTGAGGCTGTCCTATTTTGGACGCAATATGAGCAATATTATCTGGAAAAGACAATAATGCTGGGAAGGCAGCAGGAAAAGTAGAAGACCAATTAGGTGATGGATTGACTGCAGTAGTAATAGGGCGACTCCCTAAAGAAGCCACAGACCTGAGTCTACAAGAGCTGAGCAGGGTTGTTAATGACAGAACATTTTGGAGCTCACTCATTCATAGGCTTGCCATAAGCTGGTGACGGCACACAGCAACAACAAAAACAGTCCCCAATGAGCTAACTTCCGAGCACCATAGTACACAGTGAAGGGCCAAACAAACTTAGTGTAGAGGCAGGTTTATACAGGATAAACTGCTATTCACTTTTCAGGTAGCTGTATTTGTTGCAACAAAAACATTAAAGGGTTTTGTGCTACCTTAAAAACCAAGAAATGTTACTCGACAGAACCTTTTATGGATTAAATGGAGTGAGCTGCAAGCCACAAAAAACAACACCATGTAAAACTTGCAAATATTTAAGGTACTATAAAGTTAAATTTGTTTTTGAGAGGGAGAAAGCTTTTCCATCTGCTGCTGACAAAACGAACTTTCAGAACTACATTAATTAGTAACTAACTGATTAAACAATTTAATCAAATGATTTGCTGCAGCATTTTTGTATGGCTTGCATATCTGATGTTACATTATTTAATTACTATGTTCTTATTTCCCTCTTCATTTGTTTACTTTTAATAGTTATCCAAAAAGCCTGATTGACTATTGTACAATAAAATGGACTAAACTTACCACAAGTTTCCTTCTTTCTGCAATGCCTTGGCCACAGTGGCCAATTATACTATTTCCTGTGAGACTGGCAGAGGTACCAATATAGGCTGAATTTAGGGAAGCTGAGATGTTCTGTGTAATATCAGATTTTGGGTGCTATTAATGATGGCAGAGTGGGAAAATAACAAATGGTCAGGGAAAGCTTAGCTGAAACCAAAGAAAGCTACTCTGAGTCAAATCGGAAGAACACTGAAACAAAAATTCTTAATGAAACTTAAATGTCAATATTCTTCAGTGCTCTTAAGGTCAGCTGAAGATTGTCAAGAATTACTATTTTTCGCTCCATAAGACGCACCTTTCCATAAGACGCACCCATTTTTTAGGAGAAGAAAACAGGAAAATATAATCTGTTTTCTTCGCTCCATAAGATGCATAGACTTTCCACCCCCCTGTTTTGTGGGAAAAAAGTGCATCTTATGGTGCGAAAAATACGGTATATCTTATAATTTTACTACAGCCTAAGATCAGTATGATCACAATTAGTCATTCAGTGTCTTCCTTTTAGAAAACAAGTGAAATCTGCAACAAAATACAACAGCAAGGAGTGCTTCAAAGTTCCAGCCCAAAATCTACAACCTTTTCTAGTATACTCAGTTTCACACAGTAAGACAGCAGTCTTTGTCCAGAGCATTTTCTGTCCCCACTGTACTTTCCCCTTTCTATCTTCCACATCTGTTTACATTTCTGTAAACCTTGGAACTTCCCCAAGTCTACTGATGTCTCCCTTTCATACAAGGATAGTGACTTTTGGGTTACTTAAGTTTGGACAGAACTGAACTTGCTATTCATATGTTATAACTTTATCAATATCTTTAAATTCCAAATGCTGTCAAAAGTTAACAGAGGTGTTCCTTGCCTATTTTCTTTACAATCTATGACACAGGTTAGGCCAAGAATGGACAGTATAGCACCTTGATGGCCAATTAGATGTTTGAACCTGAGTCTTAATATACTCAAGGATAACGCACATTTATTAATTGTATTTATATCCCATCTTTCCCCCAATAATGGCACTTAAAAATTTAAAAGACAAATGCAGATAAAAGTATAATATTGTAAAAGTATATTATCATATTGAAATGATGAATAAAATATTTATAACAATTTAAAACTAAATTAGAAAAAAATATAAAATTACAATTAGGTAATATGATGTATGCATTATGTGTAAGCCAATAAACACACACTTCTCACCAAGAGAGATACTAAAAGGACGGCTCCAAATCAAAAGGTACTGTGTAGCTATTTCACCTTTGCATTTTTAACATACTGTTTGATCAAGAGGAAGTTGGGGGGGGGAACCCCCTCTTAAGGTGAGAAAAATGGGAGGATAAGAAATTCATGCAGCCTCCCATCAAATTCAGTGAAGGGAGCAATGCAATTGCACAATAAAGGCCTTGTCTGGAAGCACCAGCAGAAGGAATTGAACACATTGAAGATTTTCTTTAAAAGGCTTCATTTTTTTTCAAGTAGGTTCCCTCCTGTAAGCTTGTTCAAGATCAAAGCAGAGTCACTCAGGCTTAATGAGGCCAAAACAAACAAAGTGAAATGAGACAATTAGCTCCTATTAAACACCACTTCGCCTGCTCCAGGCAGGCAATTATGGAGACCTCCGATCACCCTGGCTCCAAAAGCTGCAGCAGCAATACACGGACCTCCCCCTCCTCCGCAACCCGGGCGTCCCCTCCCTTGGAAACGAAGACTAATTGGTGTTGATCTCCGTCTCTGCCCCCCCCGGGCGGGCCATCTCCCCAGAGCGCGATCTCTACTTCACCCGGGCGCCGCGGGGCTGACTGGGATGTGCCGGGCGAGCCTTCCCGCGGTTCCGAGGCCAAGGCGAGAGGGGGAAGCCAGCCAGCCGGGCTCGCGCCCCAAAGCCTTCCAGCACCAACGGCCCGGCAACGGCTGCCCCCGAACGTGGGCTTTTTAAAAGCGGAAAGACAATAAAAGGATGGAGGGAGCCGCCTCCAGGCGAGGTAAAAAAAAAAACAAACCAGAACGGCTTAGGACAGGAGACCCTCGCCCACCCTCCTTTTTTCTCACGCCCTCGGGGCCTCTTCAGCCACTGGTAACAGCCGGAACCGGTCGCAAGGCTCCCCACCTGAATACGGAGTCCCTGGGAGGCCGCGACCGTTACCGCCGGTGACTAGCGGTTCTGTCAGTGCCTCTCCGGCGGAAAACTCGGCGCCTTGCCAGAGCAAATCACCTCAATTGTCCCCCGCGCATGCGCCGCTCCTCTGAAACGGCAGGCGTCAAGGAGCAGGTGCTTCGACACGAGCCGCGCAGCTGCAGCCAATGGCGGCTGGGCGTCGATTGATTTCTCCCCCATTTAGCCAATCACAAGGAAGGGTTTCATCCCCCATCGGCTCGCTAAGCCAACCCAAGACCGGTCCGCTGCGCTCAGAGAAGGCGGCACGTGCCTCCTCGTCCAATCAGACGGAGACTTTTGCGGGACTTGATGAAAGGTGTCCTGGAGCCGCTCCGCGAGTCGATTACAGCTCAGTGAACGAGAGCGGGGATTTGTTTGAGACGTTCGAATCTGTTATAGGGCGGCGGGTGTAACACTCATGCCCGATCTGTAGTACTTCATTTAGCTGGCCTTAGAAACAAACACAAGGCAGGTTATTAATTTTCAGCGACAAGTTTATTTTAATCTGAAAAGGCTCCAATTATTTATTCATAAATGTGGCGCGGGAGGTAGCCTTACTCCAGTAGATTTTGTGGTGTAGTCGTTTCGTTTAGTCGTGTCCGACTCTTCGTGACCCCATGGACCAGAGCACGCCAGGCCATCCTATCTTCTACTGCCTCCCGGAGTTGTGTCAAATTCATGTTGGTAGCTTCGCAGACACTGTCCAGCCATCTCATCCTTGGTCGTCCCCTTCTCCTCTTGCCATCACACCTTCCTAACATCAAGTTTTTTTCCAAGGACTCTTTTCTTCTCATGAGATGGCCAAAGTACTGGAGCCTCAGCTTCAGGATCTGTCCTTCCAGTGAGCACTCAGGGTTGATTTCCTTTAGAATTGATAGGTTGCATCAATTCTTTGGCGGTCTGCTTTCTTTATGGTCCAGCTCTCACTTCTGTACATCACTACAGGAAAAACTATAGCTTTGACTATTCGGACTTTTGTTGGCAAGGTGATGTCTCTGCTTTTCGAGATGCTGTCAAGATTTGTCATCGCTTTCCTCCCAAGAAGCAGGCGTCTTTTAATTTCGTGGCTGCTGTCTCCATCTGCAGTGATCATGGAGCCCAGGAAAATAAAATCTGTCACTGCTTCCATATCTTCCCCTTCTATTTCCCAGGAGGTGATGGGACCAGTGGCCATGATCTTAGTTTTTTTGATGTTGAGTTTCAGACCATTTTTTGCACTCTCTTCTTTCACCCTCATTACAAGGTTCTGTAATTCCTCCTCACTTTCTGCCATCAGAGTGGTGTCATCTGCATATCGGAGGTTGTTGATATTTCTTCCGGCAATCTTAATTCCAGTTTGGGATTCCTCCAGTCCAGCCTTCCGCATGATGTATTCTGCATATAAATTGAATAAGCTGGGAGACAATATACAGCCGTGTCGTACTCCTTTCCCAATTTTGAACCAATCAGTTGTTCCATATCCAGTTCTAACTGTTGCTTCCTGTCCCACATATAGGTTTCTCAGTAGATAGATAAGGTGGTCAGGCACTCCCATTTCTTTAAGAACTTGCCATAGTTTGTTGTGGTCCACACAGTCAAAGGCTTTTGCATAGTCAATGAAGCAGAAGTAGATGTTTTTCTGGAACTCTCTGGCTGTGGTGTAGACTGGGAAGGAATTTGGAATAATCTAAGTTTACATAATGCTCAAGAGTGTTTTGATATAATATGGTGCTCATAAGTGCAGTTGCACAATGGAGACAAGAAAACTGAGCTGTTGTGTGGATTACCAAAACCTGAAAAATTACCGAGGAGAACAAAGTTTGGTCTTTAGATGCGCATGTTATCCTGCAGGCACGTGAAGCAGTAAATTTGTGTACATTGCTGCTGTCAATGTGTGTCTAGGTAGGTATCTCAGTTATCTCTGCTGCGTGGCCTAACTTTTCCCCATTGGGTGCTTGTCAAAGGAGTATGGGAATTTCATCTCCAGATTGGTCTTGAGCTCTTGTCCCAAATGCAGTGTGGATACTCTTTGCAGGCATCTTTCAGAGGCAGCTCTTACAAGTGCTTTGATGTGTTTGTTTCCCTTCTATCCACTTAGGTTCGTAAAACAGAGTGGTTACAGGCAGTGTTTAAGGTTCTACTTACAGGGAGAGCCGGGTGAACTGCAGCAGTAGAGTCGCTGTTGATTGTACCATTGGGGCTGCTGGAACGAGGGTGCTTGTGTAGTGAAGGACAGGTGTGTGCCGAGAGATTTCTCAATTATTGCAAGTACACTGGCTCCTTAATGTGACTTCTAAATTTCCTAACGGGTAATGTTTCTGGAATTTTTGTATTTTCTAATTACCCAGCTCCCTCTTTTCCATTTTCCAGATGCAGTGCTTATTTTACAGTATCATGTTAGTATACAGTTATCTCCCATGTTAATTAGAAATCAGGTGGTTGCATCTCTCAGAGCACATAGCTGTGTATCTTCATCCCCAAAAGTATTACATCAAGGTTTTTTTTTACTAAAATTAGTATAAAATGTGTCCTAGAAATTTTTTAATGCATGTGATATCTGAAATTGTTCCTTCATTTTGTAATTAATTCTTAAAAAAAAAAGTCCTTTGGCACTACATTTGAAATGGTACTTGTGGCGTTTGCCCAGGTCATGGACATTGCAAAAGCTGAGGCCCTACATTTGGGGAAGGAAATTCATCCTTTGCACCAACCATTCCCCTTTGGTGTGGCTAAAAACTATGAATTCCAGTAGCAGCAAACTTGCAAGATAGACGCTGAGCCAGGCAAGACTTTGGTATCTACAGTGTAAAAGGGAATCAGAATGTGGTTGCTGACGCCTTGTCTCGAAGGCCAAATGACTAATGGTGGATAAAAAGTCTGTAATATTGTATTAACTGTTCTGTTTGTATAATAGCTATGGAATATCATTAAAATGCAGAGTTGCTTGGATGTTGATGAACTGAGAGGTGTATAGTGATGGTGAAAATATTGGTGAGTGTCCTTGTTAATGAAAAGGTAACATACTGTAATGTAATTTGCATTGATGTAAGTAATGCAAGAGGCTAATATGTCTTTATTAATGCAAAGGTAATGTAATGTAATTTGTATTAATGTGAGTAACGCAAAAGGTTAGTATATCTTTGTTGATGTAAGAGTAATGTGATTCTGTCCTTAGTGATGTAAATAATATCAGAGGTTGATATTCTTTCATAAACCTTCATTTGTTTATGAGGGCAAACCATTACGTTTCCTCTCCTAAGACAAATTTATTAAGGAAGGTTATGAATATTCATATTCTATTTGCATAGACCAGTGGGAGTGCTGGAGGGGAGGAGTCACAAGGTATAAGAGATTCAGCTGCAGGAGGAATATAGATATGGATAAGGTTTAGATAGGGTTTTGAGATGAAGAATTAGAGTGTTAGTGAGAGAGTTTTGGAGTTTGGGTGGGAGAATGGTGGTTGAGGGTGGATAAAGAAGAATGTTTAAGAGTTAACAACCTTGCTTGTTTTGTCAACAACTGTATCAATAAACAATTTCTATTTAGTTGTTTTGAAATGACATACAGTCTGGACATCTATTATTAATAATAGGTATTGTTGATGAAATCAACTGGTGGCAGCTTAGGGGGCACATAGCGTGAGCTCCTAGTTTGGTGAAACAATCAGGGGCCATGTACTTAAATCCAAATAATTATGTATTGATTTGAAGTTTTATATACGCAGTTTTGGTTTTTAACTTTCTGTTCTTCCACCACATTTTGAGAAGTACAGATATACAGAAGAGAGTGGAAGAGAAGGAACACAGTAGTGCAAAGCAGGGAAACTTTTTAGGTAGTTAATGAAGCTTTTCATTTGATTGATTGATTGAGGCCATTTGTTTAATGTTAAACCATTTCTTCAGCTGAATTGTCGATTGTATAGGCATAAAAAATAGTCAGGACATAGCAGAAAAAAGAATCCAAAGAGAGAGGCAGTGTTGAAACTAAAAATAATTTAAAACCAATTTGATAAAGTATTTATAACAGCTGCACTTGCTTCCTCAGCTAATAACATTTTGAAATTATACCTGAATTATGAGCTCTAGAATGTAATACAGTATATAATAGCTGGAATTCTAACAGGAATCTATAATCAAATTTCCAAGGCTCTGTCCATTTGCTCTCTTAATTTTCCATAACATAATTATTAAGTTTGGGCTGTCTTGACTACAGTAATGCATCATTTTTTATGCATTTGTTTAAATGTTTGCTGATGAGTATCAAGGATTTGGAAAGGAGAACCCCATGGCTTCTTTGACACTGTATCTGTTATAAAATATGCTGTCAGAGTTTTAAGAAACAGACAGCTAGAAAGAGTTATGGATTACATTTTATAAGATCTTGCACACACCAAAGACACCTTTGTTCTCTTTAAATATTTGATGTAGGATTAGTAGCTATTCTGTCTTCTTACAGGAGAGCATTTGCTAGTCACTGTACACTTCCTGTGTATTTGTTTTGTCATGTGCCATCAAGTCAGAATTTGCAAAAGAGGCCTGGAAATTCTGGGAATTATAATCCAAAAACAGAAATCTGCACTCCTCTAATTTTCAAGGTATGTGAAATTTTCAAGGTTCCAAGGAGAGGTTTTCCATTGCCATCCCCCCCAGTAAGCTTCCATAGCCAAGCAGTGATTTGAACCCAGGTCTCCTGGATCCTAGTCTGACATTTTGTCCATTATGTGTCTATATGCACTACACCACAAATACAACTAGCTCCCTTATCTGTTTCCAGTTTAAGCAAATATTATAAGAAACAAAACAGGTCTCCAGTGATATTATTTAAAGGATATCAAAAACTATAATCCTTGAATGTCAGAAATGTGAAGTACATAATAATGTACTCCAGATGAACTCAGAGGGAATGGAATATTCCCATGTGCTCTGTGGAGAACTAATAAAATTTACATTATTTTCTGTTTTCCCCCCCCCCCAACAGTTTATCTTTCCATTCTAATGGCTAACAGTCTAACCGTGGAGCAAGCTGTTGTGGAACATCACTTACTTACCATTGTGCAAAGAGAAAAAAGTAATCCCATGCACGACTCTTGTTCTGCTTACCTAAACACTACAAAGAGATACTGTAGTTTCAAGGCATTCCATGCTTTTCATGTTGCATCCTTATCTCCCCTTCATCAGTATAACAATTTATTTTGCTGAATTAAATCACATTCAAATGATTAGAAAGACTTTTTATTTAAAAAGAGCTTTTTGATGATACATTTCAATGATGACAAATATTTCAAATATTTCAGATTTAATAAGCATTTATGTTCTCTATACAAAATGTACAGCTGTCTTCTGCCCTACTACATAGTATTAGGAAGAAGAATCATTTTTTACTTTTCACCATTTTATTGCTACCACTAGATGGTGATCTTTCCTTGCAGCCTTTAAGACTTCCATATTCTTGGAGAAACTACTTTTCTTATTATTTTTTTCGTGTCTTTATAAAAATCTGAAAAAAAAGCAAAGACATTATTAGCCAACATTTTCAAATACTATATTATAAATGAATTACATTGATGAAACATTCAGTTGTTATTGTTTAGTCGTTAAGTCGTGTCCAACTCTTTGTGACCCCATGGACCAGGGCACACCAGGCCCTCCTGTCTTCCACTGCCTCCCAGAGTTTGGTTAAATTCATGTTGATAGCTTTGAGGACACCATCTCGTCCTCTGTCATCCCCTTCTCCTCGTGTCTTCACACTTTCCCAACATCAGGGTCTTTTCCAGGGAGTCTTCTCATGAGATGGCCAAAGTACTGAAGCCTCAGCTTCAGGATCTGTCCTTCCTGAGCACTCAGGGTTGATTTCCTTCAGAATGGATAGGTTTGTTCTCCTTGCAGTCCAAGGGACTCTCAAGAGTCTCCTCCAGCACCACAATTCAAAAGCATCAATTCTTCAGTAGTCAGCTTTCTTTATGGTCCAGCTCTCACTTCCATATATCGCTACTGGAAAAACCAGTAGCTGTGACTATGTGGACCTTTGTCGGCAAGGTGATGTCTCTCCTTTTTAAGATGCTGTCTAGGTTTGTCATCGCTTTTCTCCCAAGAAGAAGGTGTCTTTTAATTTTGTGGGTGCTGTCACCATCTGCAGCGTTCATGGAGCCCAAAAAGGTAAAATCTGTCACTGCTTCCATATCTTCCCCTTCTATTTACCAGGAAGTGATGGGACCAGTGGCCATGATCTTAGTTTTTGCGCTTTCCTCTTTCACCCTCATTAAGAGGTTCTTCAAGTCCTCCTCACTTTGCCATCAGAGTGGTATCATCCGCATATCTGAAGTTGTTGATATTTCTTCCGGCAATCTTAATTCCGGTTTGGGATTCATCCAGTCCAGCCTTTCATATGATGTATTCTGCATATATGTTAAATAACCAGGGGGACAATATACAATCCTGTCGTACTCCTTTCCCAATTTTGAACCAATCAGTTGTTCCATATCCAGTTCTAACTGTTGCTTCCTGTCCCACATATAGATTTCTCAGGAGATAGATAAGGTGGTCAGACACTACCATTTCTTCAAGGACTTGCTGTAGTTTGCTGTGGTCCACACAGTCAAAGGCTTTTGCATAGTCAGTGAAGCAGAAGTAGATATTTTCTGGAACTCTCTGGATTTCTCCATAATCCAGCGCATCTTAGCAATTTGGTCTCTAGTTCCTTTGCCCCTTCGAAATCCAGCTTGTATTTCTGGGAGTTCTCGGTCCACATACTGCTGAAGCCTACCTTGTAGGATTTTGTGCATAACCTTGCTAGCGTGTGAAATGAGTGCAATTGTACAGTCGTTGGAACATTCTTTGGCACTGCCCTTCTTTGGGATTGGGATGTAGACTGATCTTTTCCAATGCACTGGCCACTGCTGAGTTTTCCAAACTTGCTGGCATATTGAATGTAGCACCTTAACAGCGTCATCTTTTAAGATTTTGAATAGTTCAACTGGAATGCCATAACCTCCACTGGCCTTGTTGTTAGAAACATTTAGTAGTTTCATCCAATTCTCCCAATAAAGTGTTTTGGAGGTTTTGTAAATTTTGTAGGAATATTTGTCCAAAACTGACACATATTTAAAGCCCATTCTGAAGATGTTACTGTAACAGTAAAACCCTTTCAAACATGACTCATAGCCAAGTACATCTTACTGCTCGACTCAATTAAACAAAGAGCACAATCAGTTCCTTTAATGTTCTAACTCTAAGAATTAAGTTCAGAGTGCCTCTGGGTTAGAAGAACTCCAATGTGATTTAATTACCAACATTAAAAAGAAATTTGTCTCCCCATAATTGTGACAACATATAGGCTTCTTGCATATTAATATAGTTGGACTTAAGCATAAGAGAATTTAATTATCTTTTCATAGTTTCCTCTTTCTGCCTCCTTACCTCACTCAGTAACACCCACATGGGAGAACCAGAGTGGATAGATATTCGAAGAGCTTTTATTCTGCCTAAAGATGGGCTGACAATGCCATCTGCTATTCCATCTTCAAATGCACCTGCATGTAAAGACATGTATTTTGTTATGCATTATTTTCCAAGAGCAGTTTTAAAGACTAGCCTAAGATATATAAGCTGGCTAGACAGTTTAGGTATCTGTTGAGCTAGAGATTGGGAGTTTGATCCCTCACAGTGCCTCCAGGGAGAAAAGCCAGCCTATGTGGCTTTGGGCAAGCTGCACAGTCCCAAGATGCCCCCAAAAGAAGGGAATGGTGAACCACTTCTGAGTATTCTCTACCAGGAAAACCTTGGCAAGGCTCACCATAAGTCAGTATTGGCTTAAAAACCCATAATAATTCTTATATGATATATACTGTAACAGGAAGGAAGGAGTGGAACTAATTGAAGATTCTTTATATGTCACTCCAGGGGAGATCTATTACTTCTAAGTACAATCCTTCTGCGAGTGGAAGAGCACTTTTGGATCCAATGACACCTTCCTCCCCCCCCCATTGCTAAACTCCTGGGAACAAAACTATTTTGAAGAATATGAAAATCAAACTGGATCCATCTTGGGTGGGTTTTTTTTTACCTATCTGAAAATATCCATCCCGAGTTTTTACATCTTTTAAGTACTGTGCATTGCCTCCGGTGGATTGTAAATCAATCTCCTGTAACAAAAAAGAATGAAAATCTCCACTACTGTTCCGGAAGAAAAGCTGAGCTCTCTTACATAAATTTTCTTCTAGAAAATCTTCTTAGCGAATAGTTGTAACTACAACTCAGCCAAAAATGACCTCCTTTTCATAGCATAGCTGAGGCTACCATATTTTGTTTGTTTATTTTGTATACTAAGAATGTCTTTGGAAATGATGCTGTGTTACGATTCATCCGCTCACCCACTGGATGAGACAAGCCACCATGTTGCTGCTGCTTGAAATGATAGCAAAAGTGTTTTCTTCTTAGTCCAATAAAAGAAACACTGTAACCCAATGCTGTGCATATTTATAGTTACTTAAAATATTTACAGTGGTGCCTCGCTTTACGATTGCCCCGCATTACGACCAAACCGCATTATGACGAAACCACATTACGACGATCTTTTTGTGATTGCAATTGCAATCGCAAAACAATGGTCTGAATGGTTTTTTTTTTCACTTTGCGATGATCGGTTCCCTGCTTCGGTAACCGATTCTTCGCAAAACGACGATTTTCCTCCAGCTGATCGGCGTTTTCAAAATGGCCGCCGGTTAAATAAAATGGCTCCCCGCTGTTTTCTGGGACGGATTCCTCGCAAGACAGCCACGGAAAATGGCCACCCTATGGAGGACCTTCGCTGGACGGTGAGTTTTGACCCCACTGGAACGCACTGAAGGGGTTTCAATGCGTTTCAATGGGCTTTTTATTTTCGCATTACGACTTTTTCGTTCAACAGCGATTTCGCTGGGATGAATTAACGTTGTAATGCGACGCACCACTGTATATCCTTGTTGCTATCTAAGAAATGTAAAGTAGTTTTCAAACAAAACATTATAAAATCAAAAGTAACAGAATCACAGGAAAACAAAGACCTCGTGTTTAGTGATCAGGAAATGCCTCAGAAAAAGGTATAAGTTTGGGGAGGAGTTGAAAGCATATGACTGTAGCTGCTGCCTGTGTAGCAGAACGACAACTGTTTGTGCATTACCACTAAATAAGTCTACAAGTCATAGTGTGGCCCAGTGTTTCCCAACCTTTTTTGAGTCATGACTTCCATTTATAATAGCCGAGTAACCTGCAGCCCCCTACCATATTTGCATAAAAGGACATTTTAATGGGGTAAAGAAAAAATTAAAAAAATATTTTTCAGAATATAATTCTAACCTTACATGTTAATGTAATAATACATAATTATGGGGGCTGTAAATCTGCCTCTGCTGAATAAAATCTTAGAAGGAAAATAATATATGTACACTTTGAGTTTGATTTACTTTGTTGGGTGTGGAAACAATTCTCCATGTTTCCTTCCCCACCCCCGAATGCCACCTCAGCCAGGAGCCCCTCCCCTTCAAGCCCAAATAAACACCTTCCCCATGAATACATAAAAGGAAAATCCACCCAAAGGGGTTCATAAATAACTAAGAACTTAGGTTGCCCACAACTCTGGCTCAGATTAAAATTATCTATTTGTGGGCCAAGAGGATTAAAATAAAACATCACTGTGTATACAATATTTAATGTAATAAATATAGAAATAATTCCAACTAAAAAGAACTGTGGCAAACCTTCAAAAAACACTTCATGACCCCTTGAGGGTCCCAGCACCCAAGCTGGGAACCCCTGTTATGATCAAAAGAATCTCCTTTATATATCTTACCGATTCAATGGGTCTATACATGAAAAGGCTATCTACCAAATAACCTAGGGCTATGTTGCTTAGGCCAAGTGACTTGTCTTCTAAAAAGCAGTAGTCAAATATGGAGGGCTGTTCCAAAACTGGATGTGCCATCTTCTTAAATCCATCATGTACCTCTCCACCACATCACCATTCACTGATTCCACATGGGCAGTTGTGCTTAAGATAGTTTGAATGATTCAATAGCTGGGCGAACATGTAAGCTGAACAACAACATTTTGTTAATATTCTCACACTATGATAATTGGTACCACCTGTACAAAGGTTAATATTAAGCACCGGATGTCATTTTGAGAGCTGTATTAACAGTGATATTAAAGTCAGCAGAGAAAATGAACTGAAAATAAACTGAAATAGCAGAGAAAATGAACTGAAATAAAATGAAAGAGCAGTGTAGCATAGCAAGTATGCATAGAAAGAAATGAATAAATGCAGTTAAAAACAATGTGAACACTATGATATATACAGCACGTGACCACTAAAAAAATGAATCAGTAGAACAGAGGTATGAAAAGAATTGATATAACTGGAGTTCTTTTCTTATGTGTGATTGAGCCTTGAGTGAGTTTTTCTTCAAAATGTAAGCAAAGCACAATTATCACTGGATACCTACAATGGCTCCGGCAAACCACAGACTAGGCTAGGTATGATCAGTCCCTGCACTGCATGGAATGACTTTTGTCATCCAACTGCTTAAAGATGCTGCAGAGGCAGTAAAGTTCGGTTTCATTGTTGCCATCATCAGTACACAATTATGCACCCTACTGCTATCTGGATAGCCTTGTACAGTGGTGCCTCGCTTAACGACGATAATTCATTCCAGGAAAATCACCGTTAAGCAAAAACATCATAAAGTGAAAATAAAAACCCCATTGAAATGCATTGAAACCCGTTCAATGCGTTCCAATGGGGAAAAAACTCACGGCCCAGCGAAGATCCTCCATACGGCGGTCACTTTCACTGCCTGTATAGTGAGGAATCCGTCTCTAAACACAGTGGGGAGCCATTTTAATCACCCGGTGGCCCTTTTGAAACCGCCGATCAGCTGTTCAAAAACCGTCATTTTGCGAAGAATCAGTTCCTGAAGCAGGGAACCGATCATCGCAAAGCGAAATGCCCCCATTCAGACCATCGTTCTGCGATCACAATTGCGATCGCAAAAAGATCGTCGTTAAGCAGTTTTGTTGTAATGCGGGGCAATCGTAAAGCAAGGCACCACTGTATCTATTATTATTAATCGTAAAGCGAGGCACCACTGTATCTATTATTATGCCAGGTATATTTATTTTAGTTCTCATCCAGCATGTTTCATGGCTTTACCAGCCATTCTCAACCTTCTTTTAATTTTGGCCACAGCCATGAAGACAACATGAAAGAAATACAGGAAAAATCAGGATTGTATAAGTCACATAATGAACTTTATAGGGTGGTACGTGAAGAACTGCTTCCAGTCTGTGGCCCCCTTCAAATGTGCCAGGGTCCCCCAAGGGGCCTGCTGAAAATGGCTGTAAGCTATTTGTAAGACCAGGGAAGCAGCCACACTCGACATCAGAGAGTGTGTTCAACTATTGTGTTAATCACTCACAGTGTCTCAATATTCTATAGACAGGTTGTGGCCCAGTGGAGGCTGGTCCTTTAGGGCAATTGTGCACTGCCCCACCTGAGGCTTAGGCAATGTCCACCTCTTTCCTTATGTGAAGGGTCAGGGCACTGCCTCTGTCCCCCTTCTGCTGACATTCAGCTTTACAGTTAGGACTGATGGGATTCTGTCTGTGAACCAATGAAACATACAGTCATTTAATAAAGGTTTCTATTTGTTTGCTTTCCCATCATTTAGTAAAAAAGAGTAATGGGTTCATTGCCATTTCAAACTACAAAGTATTAATCCAGGCAACAGAATGGTTTTGCTTTTCCTTCCATTCTTCGGAAAACATAGTTCTAGCGTCTATCAAAAAACAGCCAATTAATTTCAATAGAAGCCCAATTGAATTGCTGCAGTGTTCATAAACAAATCACTGTGATGGCCTAAAACAGACATAACAAAGGTGAAAGTTGCTGCTGCCAGAAAAACATGGCATGAGGAAAATGTATATAATAACCCAAACTTCCCCAAATCCATAATTAATTTACTGATAATTCTAATAAAGAGGTGTATACAAGATCAATAGCCAATATCTGAACGGGATTCTAACATCAGCACAGCCAATTATTTCTTAAAAGGCAAAGATCTCTTCATATACACACTCCCCAAAGCTTACTTTCTTAAGGTAATGTCAGATTTACTAGAGTCTTACCCTGTGGCAGTCACGGTTTTCAGTCAGTGTAAAACTAAACAAGATGCTCAGGTAATATTTGGAAGCTAATAACACATTTGGGTCTTCAAATGTTCTTGGATAGGAGTTTCAGAAATCCTGGGCAACACAGTGAGTGATGAAAATTTCTGGGAGTTTTAATCCAAGAACATGTGCTTACCCAGTTTCAGAAATCCTGGGCAACACAGTGAGTGATGAAGATTTCTGGGAGTTTTAGTCCAAGAACATGTGCTTACCTGGATTTGGGAACTAATACTCTAGGAAGTTTCATGGCTGAGCTATCAGACTTCCAAATTAAGTCTATGTTTCCTCAATCATAAAACAAACCTATCTTGCAAAATACAGATATTAGAAAAGCTTGTGCTTGGACATATAGTCATCTTAGAGGACCCCTACTTCTGATTGTGAACCAAACATCTTATCTAGCTTTATCTTTTTCTGATCTGCTTTGCTTTCACAGCAACATCAATCAAGTGCATGACGTTATCTTATGCTGAACATAGACAGTGGACTGGGGAAAAAATAGAGGTGGTACTTTTCTCTGATAGTTAGTGTGAGATGTAATAGTCTCATTCATAAGGATTACTGGCCAGAAATATTAAGAGAGCTGTTCTTTCTTACAGATTTTTTTGAATGTGAGATACTTACATCAACAGGTAAAACATCTACAGTAGCGTTAGAGACCTTGTCTCCGGGATGCTCTGGGTTTCCACTTCTAAATAGGTATCTACAAAAGACAGTATTTATAAATGTAATAAAATCTGGAATTTAAGTGTTTTTAGGAGAGACTAGACTGCTTAGGCAGAACTATTTTGATCAGAAAATGATTTAATTCAGGGACATATCTTTGCACTATGTAGTGCTTACCTTTCAATTTTCAGTGGCTGCTGAAAGTTGAGCAGGATGTAATCTCCAGCCACGGGGGCAAATGCCCAAAAACATTCCACTCCTTTATAAGCCTTTTCTAAAGTGAAGTGCTGGAATACTTTCAGGCTTGTAGATACTTCAGCAGGTGGGTTGGCATGTACTTTAAATAATGAGTTTTTGAGGAAATCTTTATCCTGTAAAACATAAAAAAATATATTCATGGATAAAGAAAACTATTATATGATATTAATACCAAATTGTAGGTAGACAAAATATAATCTTGATACTCTAAATCTGTTCTTTGCTATGACTTAGAGAAGTTATTTCTTTGGGCTTGATTTTGCAGAAATCCCTCAGCTGGGGTGGCCAGAGGCCCTGAGAGGTAACTCTATGCTACACACAGCTTGCTGCTAACCAAGACCTGGTTTCTTTTCTCTTCGAATGGGGTGCCAGTTATATTTTGGTCCCTATTTGTATTCATTTGGAGACTGAAAGAAAGAAGCAAAATGAAAACGTGGTCTTACTTTCAAATGCTGAATTTTTCCAGCTAAAGAAGAATGAAGTCCCACATGCTGAAAAAGAGATGGCTTATAACGAATGCGCAAAGAGGCCTTTTGTCTTTCACAGTGTTTCTGGAAAGGAAACCATTTTGTGTGATAAACAACAGCAAAAGATAATTAGTACAATCAGCTGAATTTCAATTTCTGTGAATACCTATATTTTTGCTTTCTTGCAAACCACCCGCAAGCACAGATGAACAAAGCATCTATCTCGCACTGTGCTGTGATAGTGAAATATTTGATATTACAGTGGACCCTCGACATACGAAGGTCCTTACTTATGGAAATTTCGAGGTACGAAAAGCTCTGGCCGCAAAATGTTAGTTCGACTTGTGGCCGGAGCTTTGACCTACGAAAGGCAGGGGAAAGGGTGGGTAATTCAAAGCATCCCCCGGTACCCTCTTGTCTCCTGTCCCTGGTGCAGAGGGCACCAGGGACAGGAGACAAGAGGGCAGTGGGGGCAGCTTTCTTTTGGCTTGCAGCTTTGGAAGCGGGAAAGCCGAAAGCCGCTCCGCGCCTGCTGCCAGCTTTCGGGGCTTAGAAAGCTGGACCTACTGGCCTCTTGTCTCCTTTCCCCGGGTGCCCTCTGTCTCCTGTCCCTGCATGGACGGGAGGCAGAGGACAGTGGGGACAGAAGGCAGAGGGCAGCAGGGGCAGCTTTGGAAGCCCGGGATTTTTTTTTCTTTGGCTGGAAAGGATTAAATGGTTTTCAGTGCATTCCTATGGGAAATGGACCCTCGACCTACAGAATTTTCGACCTGCAGCCACAGTTCCAATACGGATTAATTCCATAAGTCGAAGGTCCACTGTACACAGTTGTAGCAAACTTGATGTAATGTTGCCTAATATTCACAAGCATTCCTAAATGCTTGTGGTGGATAGAGAGCCAAAATTTCCAGGGAGAGATGAAAATAAACTGGTGTAAGGTAGGTGGCAACAAGGGTGATTTGAAGAAAAGAGTGGAGAGCAGGAGGAACTGAGGCAAGCATGGACTGATAAGGACTAGAAGGCAATCTGTTATGGCAGGTGGGACACAACCACCCAACTTGTGACTGGAAGCAGTAGTGGAGTACACATTTTTCCTCCCAAGAGATAATTCTGTATGAAATCCTAGAAACCTACCAAATCAATGTAAGATACTATTTTTCAGTTGAGTTTGATGTTAAATGTATGAAATTGTAATAGTGTCACTGCAGGAGAGGAGGGTGAGGATCAAACCAGAATTAGTTAGCCCCATCTACTCCTGGCTTCTAATACTCTTCCACTGGTCACTGTACTCTGCACTAATATTTCTGATCACCACCACTTGCCTCTATTAAAAAGAGAGGAAAGCTAAAGAAATACAGTACTTTTGTCTGAAGAGGTTATATCATCCTCATCCTCATCTTAGAACTGCAGAGCTGGAAGGGACCCTATGGATCATTGAGTCCAGCCTCTGTCAAGAAGGCATAGTGGGGAATTGAATTCCCAGCCTCCTAAACCTCTGAGCTATCCAGTAGTCCTTGCCACACCTGTTGGCATTGCAGAACTGTGAGAGGACAGCCCTAATGAGAGAATAACTGCTGAGAAACACTGGATACCTGTTCACCTAACTAGGAATTTCATATAGTGATTTTAAATAACCAGACATTTGTCTATGAGATTCTTGTTGAGTTTTAAGTATTTGTTGAAAGAGTAAAGACTACTCACAAATCAATTTTTTCTTAGCAAAATTAACAATCAAGCAATATTATTAAATGTTAATATTTAAAATTATGTCTACTATTCCAGCAGATACCCTAATTTTTAACAAGATGAACCATATACTATGTCTTAGTGCAAGGCTTAGCACACATCAGTTTGAATTCTGAAGGTGTCTAAAGAGCGTTTGAATTTAGAAAGTTAACTAAAGTGATACAAATCAAATATCATACATGCAGTATATCACAGAAGTGAGTACACCCCTTCACATTCCATAACTATTTTAGTATATCTTTTCATGTGACAACACTGAAGGAATGACACTTGGCTATAATGTAAAGCAGTGAGTAAATACATGTGTACATTTTTAAATTATTTAGTTAGTTATTAAATATTTCCATAAAATGTCCAAGGTTGAAACCAACCAAATGATCAACACCTTAAAATGACATTTATTACATAGTTCTGTCTAAGATTACAGCCTTTTTAAAAAAAAGCTTATAATTTCTGGTTCTGTTTCTTTGCGGTGTACAGTAGTACTTCCAGCATGATGCAATATGCATTTCTCCTTGTGGGATAACATAACAATTGACACTAGTATTTCAGGAAACTTATTCAGTTAATTATGTTGAACTCTCCTTGTACATCTGCCCTATAGCTCTGGAACTCCATTTGTCTAAGCAATCTTTTTTTTTTTAAGTGGAACAGTTTTGTACCCCGCCCTCCAAATATAACTTACATGTTAATAAATGTAGTACTTACTGCATCTTTCTCTGGATTACAAACTTTAACCCAAAGTAAGTGGTCTAGAAGCCAGTCAATTGGCTTATCTTTGTAGAACATTAAAAAAAATTCTACTATCTGTGGTAAGTCTCTGCATCGGAATAATTTTCCTGAAAATGCATTTTTCAAAAGAGAAAAGAAAAGCACAACTTTATTTACAAAACAGGGTACATAACAAGAAAATTATTAACTTCAGTTTCTTGGTCCTTATTTAGTCCTAAAGGGATTGATTTAGATGTTGGTAGTACCTAGAGTAAGCACACTGATACCAGTATGATTCTGCCGCATTGATTTTTTTAAAATGTACTTGAAGTCTGACAGACCTAAAAACAGTACTTATAAGAAAGATAACTAAAACTATATACAGTGGTGCCTCGCATAGCGAGGTTAATCCGTTCCGGATTAACCTTCGCTATGCTGAAGCATCGTTGAACGGGGCAGGGATTTCCATTGGAACGCATTAAACATGGTTGAATGCGTTCCAAATGGGCCAAATACTCACCGTTCAGCGAAGCTTCTTAATGGCCGGCAGCCATTTTCGCGCCTTCATCTCGCTTAACGAGGGCGCGAAAACACTGCGCGCGGCCATTTTGGGCCATTTCCGTGCTTCCAGCAGCCATTTTGGCCGCCGAACAGCTGATCGTCGGGCTTCGTTTTGCGAAGATCGGTAAGCGAAACGCTTACCGGTCTTCGCAAAGCGAATTTAGCCCTATTTAAAAAACGTTAAGCGATCGCATTAGCGATCCGAAAAAACAGATCGCTATGCGATTTCGTCATTATGCGGTGCGCTCGTTAAGCGAGGCACCACTGTACAGAAGTCATTCATAGCTGAACCTAGACCTAGAGCATCATATTAGTTGTGGTCAGTTATCAACGGTTTCAGCATGTGGTTTTATTAATTATCCTTAATGTAACTTTCTGTGTTCTCACCTGAATCTAGCATATCATCTATAGAAAATACATATTGAGTAAGAATGCAATTACACAGCAAAGGAAATGCAAATTCACTCACAGTCACTCGCTGTGAAGTTGCACCAGGATATTTGGGTCTGTGATTTAAATCACTACATATTTTATTTTGCTGTTTGCTTGCAGTTCTGCATATAGCAGAGGTCTGAGCATGCCCAGAAGTGGCGGCCCTGGCTCCTGGAAGGGAAACCAAGCCTGCTGCTTTCTTCTGAGGACAGAGGCGTGTGGTGGTGGCAGGAGTAGGTAGGCACCGAGGGGCAGTGGGGGGATTTGACAAACAGCTCAGAAAAATGTTCCCATTTGCAAGTCACGCATGAGTTCATTGGGGAAAAACCCCAAGTCGAGTCCAAGTCAAGTCACTGATGCAACTTAAGTGCAACTCGACACCGAGGGTCAAGTCACAAGGCCTCATAGCTGGTGAGATGAGAGGTGAAGGGGAAGATGCTTTATGTGCGTGTGCCCACATTCAGTTAGGCTTCCCTTTCTGCATCGCTTCAAAGCGATAATACACTTTGAACAAAAGTGAAAGAATTTGAGTTTTAAATAGTAGAAGGTCTTTGGTGGGGAGGAAAAACTATGGATTGGAGGTATGGGACTCCATGCTGATTCCCATTTTCTGTTGTATCATGTGATCAATGGGAAAAAGGCAAATCAGCTCACCCCAAACCCATAGTATTTCCTGCATTTTATCCTGTGTAGTCAGGTTCTAAGATAGAAACAAAGGCAATCAAGCTGCTCAAGTGGTCTGAAACATTTCTGCACCTCAAAAAACAAGTACAGTGGAGTCTCTACTTAAGAACGTCCCTACTTAAGAACAATTCTACTTAAGAACAGCTCCGTTTGCTAAATTTTGCTTCTACTTGAGAACAGAAATTCTAGATAAGAACAGGGAAAAAAACCTTTCCTGCTCTTTTTTTAACCTTAGGTCATCTTAGGTTAAAAAAAATTCTCCCCCTAGTGGTAGAGTATGTATTAACCAGCTTTGCATTAGTTCCTATGGGAACTAATGCTTCAATGTACAAACGCACCTCTACATAACAAAAAAACAGCCAGAACGGATTAATTGGTTTTCAGTCCATTGCTTCAAAATTAGCTTCGTCAGAAGTGCTTTTAACACTGTTCCCTGACCTAAGAAAAAAAGAAAAAATATCCCCCTCTAGTGGCAGAAGGCGGAATAGCAGCTTCCCATTAGTTTCTATGGACGGAAAAGAGCAGATACGGATTAAATGGTTTTCAATGCATTCCTATGGGAAATGCAGATTCTACATAAGAACTTTTCCACTTGAGAACCACCTTCCAATACGGATTAAGTTCTTAAGTAGAGACCCCACTGTAGAATGGAACTAGCTGGGTATGTGATGTGAACCTCTGGTGCTATATTGGTTCTACTTTCTGTCCATGTTTACATGTGGCTTGGAGGATATACAGTTTTTTTGCTGACATTTTTTGCATCATATCGCTCAGATTTTTCTTATACTTATACAGTAGTCTGCTTAAAGGACACTGGCTGAAATCTTGTTGTGTAGCTAAGAACAGTAACTATAATAGTGCCACAATGGAAGTGTCATCCAGAAAGCCCTTCCAGCACTGTATTATGCATCTGGTCACAATGGGAACAGCACAACTATGTGATTGAATTGCACAATCTGCAGTAATTTTAATTTATTTATTATTTCAACTTATATATCACCCCATAGTGCAATGCACTCTCTGGGTGGTTTACAACAAAGTGTACAAAGAGAAAGCATAAATACAAAACAATATGCAAATAGAAACAAACAGCCAAACAATCAATGAAACAATGATTAGCTAACCCATCTTTAGATAAATAAACAATTTAAAATGATACTGTATTGGACATCACAGGTACAATAATTAGTAAAAGGCAGCTTTGAACAGTCCTGTTTTTAGCAACTTCTTAATTTATCTGAGCATAACGTGTGCACAAAGTTATATGTGCATAACTTTGTTATTCAGTGATGAACTAGATTCTGGCCATTAGGTAGGATCCAAAGAGATTCTTGTACATAAATCGTCTGAATTTGTACAAGGGGGAAATCTCCATATGCTTCCAGTTTCCTTCCCACAATTCTAGTGGGTTCTCTGTCTCCTGATAGAAGGTTTGAGGAGGGCAAAGGGCTACAATGAGGGAAAGAAGGGAGCGGAAAGCCCTTCAAGATTTCACTTTAGACCTCTCCTCTGAATTGCACAGATCTGAGCAGCACAATTTCAGGTAGAGATATTCCCTCCCAAATAAATAAATAAATAAATAAGATAGATAGATAGATAGATAGATAGATAGATAGATAGATAGATAGATAGATAGATAGATAGATAGATAGATAGATAGATAGATAGATAGATAGATAGATAGATAGATAGATAGATAGATAGATAGATAGATAGATAGATAGATAGATAGATAGATAGATAGATAGATAGATAGATAGATATTCTGCTGCTATTCGTTTCCAGGAAGTGGCTTCAGAAAGTTGGGTCTTGGCCTCACCTAAGGCCCTACTGTTGGCAGAATGGTGCCCCCCCCCAGTCTGATGGTGCAGGGCCGGGTGACCCCCTCTTCTGTTATGGTGGTATGGTGGTTCCATGTGGCAGCTGGGAAGGGTGCAGGGGCATACTAGGAGGCTGACGTGGGTTGGTGGAGATGTGTCTCTCTGTGTGTTGATCAACCGTTTATGCTTTGTTGTTACTTTTTGGGAGCATAAGTTATACTGTACAGTACATGGATTTTGAACTATATGAAGATTTGGCACCACTAACCCCATGGTAGCTGAAGGAAGAAGTGCATATCCAATGGACTCTGTCCTCTATATAGTAATGATGCTGTTTTACAGTTGTTCTGTGGCAAAATGTTGGTTTGATTAATACAGCTATTTCTGGAAAGGGAGTTTTATCTCCAAATATTGAGCTTGCCTAAAAACAAACAAGGCTTTTATGATCTTGCAGTACTCTTCTTTTCCTTTGAATCTTCCTATCATTGGCTGGTTGTGTTACACTTATTGGACATCACAGGCTCTGGCCTTATACCACTTACTTGGGAGTAAACCTTACTGAACAGAAAAAGACTGATTTCTGATTTGACTGTAGAGGCTTCCCCTGTAATAGTGATTGAAGCACAGGAGTCTAAATCCAATTGCTAGTTCCAATTAAGGTAGATTTAGTCAGTGAGTTACTGGATGCTATGACAATACTGTACTTGTATCAGTCCCGCTGATTTAATACTTGGGTTAATTTCCTCAGGACTAGCCTTGTCATTTTGGGTAATTTGTGAGGAGTGTTGTGGATGATTGTTATTTAAATAACATGTAAGCAGTTTAGCATAACCTCATTTCCATCCTTTTTAATCTTGATATTATTGCTGTACTTACCGATAAACCCAAGTTGAGAAAATTCAAGGATCATCCACTCGTTCGATTCCTGTTGTACAACAAAGTCTTTTATTATCTGTGTATATTCAGGCTTTGCTACAATATCATCTTCTAGCTGAAAAAAAAATAGTGTTTTTTTTTTAATGAATCAGAAGTGGGATAGTCCTAAAGAGCAGAAAGTTTAGAAACAGGTAAATGTAAGTGACTTCTATACTTTATTAGTATATTTGTGTGTTCTGTGCCATCAAGTCAGAACTGACTAACAGCAACCCTAACAGGGCTTTTCAAGGTAAGTGAGATATTTAAGGAATGATTTTATTAGTTCCACTCCCCCAGTGAGTTTCCATGGCCAAGTGAGGATTTGAATCTTGTTTGCCAGAGTCCTAGTCTGTCACTCTGTCCACTACTACACCACACTGGGAATTCCCATTAGTATACAGTATTAACAAGAAATTATGCATAGAACTGACATAATTACATTTGAGGAAATTACCTTAAAATCACTCATAAGATGTTGTTCCATATATAAAAAATTTATGGGCAACAGAGAAGACATGACAATTGATCAAACTTTCAAAATACTGTACTGGGTTGGATCTTCCAAATTCTCTCACGTTTAGAGAAGGGATGGGACAAACCAGTCATGACTAAAGTCCCACTGATTTGGATGAATTGATCGTAAGCAAGATTGTTCGATCAACCAAATAGTAGCAATGATGACAAAACCAGAGTGAACAACATATGTGTTAACATAGGATTTGAATTCAGGACTTTTAATTTTGATGTACTTGAAGGAATGAAATGTCGGTGAAAGGAAATGGTGTAATAAAAGCATAAGATGACTGGCAAAGCAATGGTAATCCCTATGGAGGGATGGCTGCATAGGAAGAGTTAGGATTTGATGGGGGGTAATCAGCGGCGACAGATTTTACTTTCTTGGGCTCCATGAACACTGCAGATGGTGACAGCAGCCACGAAATTAAACGACGCCTGCTTCTTGGGAGGAAAGTGATGACAAACCTAGACAGCATCTTAAAAAACAGAGACATCACCTTGCCGACATAGTCAAAGCAATGGTTTTCCAAGGAGCGATGTATGGAAGTGAGAACTGGACCATAAAGAAGGCTGACCACCGAAGAATTGATGCTTTTAAATGGTGGTGCTGGAGGAGGCTCTTGAGAGTCCCCCGGACTGCAAGGAAAACAAACCTATCCATTCTGAAGGAAATCAACCCTGAGTGCTCACTGGAAGGACAGATCCTGAAGCTGAGGCTCCAATACTTTGGCCATCTCATGAGAAGAGAAGCCTCCCTGGAAAAGACCCTGATGTCGGGAAAGTGGAGAAGGAGATGACAGAGGATGAGATGGATGGGCAGTGTCATCGAAGCTACCAACATGAATTTGACCAAACTCTGGAAGACAAGAGGGCCTGCCGTGCTCTGGTCTATGGGGTCATGAAGACTAAACAACAAAAGCAGAGGAAATTCACTCATGAGTGTAGCCCCATCTACCTTTTGTATTTACATCCAGAAAAAGCACTGTTGACATGACTCTATCACCAATAATGTTCATACTGGCTTCAAAACATATTTGTCCAAGAACAGAACAGTGCAATTTCTGACATTTTGGCACAAGTTCTGTATCAAGATGCTGAAAGCTATTACAGTTTTTAATGCTTTTGTTTCAGCTCCCTTGAGGATTGATAAAAAGCACTTTCTAACAGCTACAGGAACAGAGCTTCTGAAAGATGCTTTCAGCTTTGAAAATGCATGGTTATCTCAGGATGAAGCAGACCTAAATGGACAGAGAGAATAATTACAATTCACCCCTGGTGAAGAGGGATTTGATTGTTGGCTCTTACGGCTCCCATGCAACCATTATCTATTTCTTGCTACAACAAAAAGTCAATCAAAGGGCCCCCTGTGGACTGTCAGAAATATGAACAACTGTGTGCATTGAAAATATTGACAGTTTTTCTCTAAACCTCTGTCACTCTTTTTTTGGATTAATATACCAATCAGTCCATCAGTCCCTTTAAAAAAAAAAAAGGAAAAAAATAGCTTCCATAAGGGAAAAGAAAAGGCATTTGAGGGCTAGAAATTCCTCAAGCCTTTGACGAAAGGAAAGGCAGAAGGAGTTAGTTCAAATGGTCTTTCTAATTTGCTGTGAAAGAAGAGGACATCTGACCCAGACATATCTTCTAGATCTAAGAAATACTTAGTACATGAACTTAATTCTTTCTCCAATACTCTCACTATCTTGAACAAAAATTATGAACAAACTGTAAAAAGGTAATTTATTATATGAGCTATCTCTCCATTTTCCATTCCAGGCTGGAACAAATATGTAGGAAAATAACTTTCATACAGCAACTTTGCCTGAGTTTTGTTCAAGAACAAAACTGCATTCCAGAACACGATTAGCTCTCATCTTATTTATTTATTTATTTATTTATTTATTTATTTATTTATTCATTCATTCATTCATTCATTCATTCATTCATTCATTTAAACTTCCTGGTACTCTTCTATCTCTCCTGTCCAACCTCCCCAGATGTCACCATGAGCTTCATTTAATTTGAATAAGTTTAATGATTGTGAAACTTGCATTTTTACAGATCACAACAATCTTTCTATTTTCTGCTACAAATATTTCTGATCTTTCAGTTGCTTTTTGCCATTCTTGAGCCTACTTTCGAGGGTCTTGCTGTAAAGGACAGCCTCAGTGGTAGCTACTTAGTTAGATCTGGTAGGCATGCTGCCACAGACTTAGCTCACACATATAAACACCAGCAAGGGCCTGTTATCGTACGTTCTCATAACTGCAGCTTTTGGAGTGTCTATGAATGGTGATGTCAAGCACCATGAGATTTGGATTTTATGATGTACCATATTTTTCCATGTATAAGACTATACTTTTGTCTAAAATCTTTAGACTAAAAATTGAGGGTCGTCTTATACACGGAAGTAAACTGAGGAGAGAACAAACACAAGTGGGGGGGAAAGCAGGGAACAAAGTGATCCTGCAGGGCTTTGATCCCTGCTTTCCTCTCCACTTGCTAAGCCTTTTAGCAAAAGGAAAGCAGGGATCAAAGCGCTGCAGGATGGCTTTGATCACTGCTTTCCCCTCTGCTTACTAAGTCCCATGGGGTTTAGCAAAAGGGGGGGGAGATCAGTGTAATCCCATGGCTGTATAAAGGGAAAAGGGATCAAAACGATCATGCAGTGCTTTGATCCCTTCCCCCTACACTTGCTAAGCCCCACTTAGATTTCTTAATTTTGGGTTTAAAAAGTGGGAGGGCATCTTATACATGGGGTGTCTTATACAGAGAAAAATACGGCAATTCTCACAGTTTTTCAGTAATATATTCTGCATCACTTTTCATCCTCCTTTGAAAAAGTATTAATATACAAGCTTAGCCAATTCTTACATGTCCTGAGTGGACATAGTTGGCATTTCCACATCATTCTGTTTTACACTGTTCCAAAAATGTTTGAAAAGCACTTTTTAACCAGTGAGGGAATATGATGTGGTTATTATTCCTCATTCTAGCTCCCTTCTTTCAGAGTTAATGCCATTGACACAGGAAACAAGTATGCTATATTCCACCCAGTGTTCTCCAAATGTTAAATATGTTACCAGGACAATTTGTGGGGCAGGATAACAAAGGAGAGAAGAAGTGAACCTCAGTAATAGATAAATCCACTCTCTTGCAGAAAATATAATCATTATAAGCACTGAAATACACATAAAAGGAAATGTCACCAGATTTAGACAGGATCTGCTCCAGTTTAAAGAGGGATTCTGAGCAATTATCTTCTAGTGAGTTTTGTTTTGAAAAATAGGTTCTAGAAGACTGACCTCACAGTGATAGCAGATAGCAGTAGCAATAAAGCTTTGAGTGGCTTTTGTTGGCTAGGTCTAGCTTCTATTTACATTTCTTGTAATGTGCCCATGCACTGGTGGTGTTATGGGGAATTCAAATGGTATTGGCCCAGCTTGGACTGAGATAGGCATCCGCAGTGGATCTTGTCAACAGCCTGAGAATGCCAGGTGCTAGCACACGTCTTGACTTAAGAGAAGTGGTTCCTTAAAGATGCCACTACACCAAATGCCGCATGCCAATGAAATGCACATACTTATCAAGCAAAACAACTGTCAGGAGAGATTTGCGTTCCAAAACATTACATAAGACATTCTTTACTTCCATAGAATAGACAGAATCTTCCTCATTCCTACCAATTGTCCCTAGCACAAATGGCTGGACTCTTTCAGAGCTTGCACAAGGGGTATTCTGTACCTCCTGCAGAATCAGAACTATTTTTTGGAATATGGCAATCCCTGCTTGTGCTATGGAATGATGGAAATCTCATGGGTGCTCTGTAGGCAGATAATTATGTTGCGCCAGCTCCCAGCAGGATACTGGCTAATATGTTTATGACTGGCTTACATACGTTTGATTTCTTTACCCATCACTAATGCTGTGAGTAATGAAATATTATTAATTTTACAAAATTTGTAGGAAGCAATTCTAAAGGGCATGAAATTGTAAATACATTAGCTAACGCAGGGGTCAGGGAACTTTTTTACCCTTTACCCCCTGTTGCGAGCGTGCTGAAGCCTCTATTATCTCAGGCCTTCAGGAGGTGCTCACTCTTCTTCACAGGTTGCTGACACCAATACCAATTCAGTACCAATTATTTACTGAGACATGTGTTGCTTTGAAACCTAAACTTGTTTATTTGATCAGTAATATAAAATAAGTAAATCACAAGTTGCTAATCAATTTCTCTCGCTCACTGAACTCACTGACATACAGAACCCTACTCTCACTGACTTTCTTGCTCACTCTCTCACAGACTCACAGATCTCTCCGAAACTCTTCCACATACTCCATACACTCCCCTTTATATGCCAGCCCCTCCCCCTTTAGCACCACCTTCCATACACTCATTGGCTCCTTTTCCACTGCTCAGCTGTGACGGACAGGTGAGGGCAGGGCTGAACACTACACCCCCTAAAACATATACGCCAACATTACCCCCTTGATTTGAAAGGAAGGATTTTGGTCACATGTGGCCAGTTGAGTGCCACCGCCCGTGCCTGAGCCGTCCGCACCCAGGCTGCCGCCTTCTCCTCTGCCGCCACCTGGCGGGGCCGCACTCAGTCCTTGGCCCCGTGGAGCGGCTTCCTTTCTCCGCTGGTGGGTGGCTCCTTGGCAGCCGTCAAAGAACAGCAGGTGGCTCACCTGCCGGGGGCGCCTGACACCGCCTCCTCTGGCACTGGCACTGGCTCCGGTGGCTGCTCGCCAGGGCGGCTGCATCAGGCTTTGGCGTCAGGACTCCCGCGGGCCTCACCATTGAAGCATCATGACAGCTGCCACATGGAGGGTGAAAGGCTCCACCAGGCCCGGCCGGCAAGTGTGGAGGTGCCACCGAAGGAAGCCACGCGGCCGGGTGAGTGCCACTGCTGCCCAATGAGCTCCTCTGGGAATGGGGATGGGGCGGTGGCAGCGGCATCCTGGCACCAGGAGTCTGAGCCTGGCCTGGGCTGCCATCATGACTGTGCCCTCCCCCCTCCGCCATGATCCACCTCTCCAGACACTGGAAGGAGAGGCTCCTCCTGGCTGGGGCGCTCCGGCCACTCGCCCCAGCCTCACCCTCTGCCATGACTGGCCCCGCCACCGCCTCAGCTGCTGTATGCTGCCGGCCGGGGCCCATCACCAGCCGCCATCTGCCGTGGCTCGGTTGCAGCCAGGCCGGAGAAGGGGGTGGGAAGGGGACAATCAGGCAGCCGGGGACCCCCCCTCCAGGCAGAAGAGGAGGAGGAGGAGGGAAGGGGGTTAGGGTCGCGTTCTCATTATCCCCAGGATTTTCATTTTTATCCCATTTGGGGTAATTTACCCCTGTTCTCTGACCACTGAGCTAACGCCTAAAGGTTACAAAAAAAACAGTACAAAATGTTCTCAAAGATCAGAGAAACTTGCACCTTGATTCTGATTCTAGCAGTGAACCCCAGTATATTCACAGTGAAAGCCACATATGTAGCATATGAACATACCTGTAAATAAAATGTTCCTTTAGGTTGAGCATACAGCATTAAGAAGCTATAATCCAAATTCTGTTTTGTTCTCCACCTAAATATAAGCAACAAGTTGTTTTGAAAGAACAGATTACTGTATTTTTACATTTCATTTATGTTTAGATAAAGAAAATGCTTATCTAGACTCATATCAATCTGGTTTTCTCAATGTGGTTCTGGAAGCAAATTGATTTGATAGCTGGCTCTGACTAGCCTTCACTGGGAGAGAGAAGATGTGGAATGAATAGAATCCTGCCCAGCATCACCCCCCAGCCTTTGTTTCTTCTGCACCAACTACATACATTGGGCATTAGAGGCACTGTATTATGCTGATTCTGTTCTTGCTTGATAGGAGAAGACTGTGTTGGAATAGTAGTGGTCATAGTAGTGGTCATCCACACACGTATTATCCACTACAGCTCTACAGAAAAATGATGTGTCTCCAATGACTGAAGCTTCTATCTGAAAGGATTGGGAATGAGGGACATGCAAAAGACCCCATCTAGCTTCGCCTCTGCTTGATGTTGGCTGGAAATATCTGCCTGAAATCAATAATCAAGTACTTTGACAAATAAATTAGAAATGAGAAAAGTTAATTTGTCAAACTGCAAGTACCATAATATCCCAATCCCATAATTCTCACCTCTGAAGTAGTCTGCAATTCATGAAATGTTTATGGTAGGGTACTAAATTCAGAGGTAGATACGTCTATCCTAAAGGAGGCTATGTTCTGAAAGGAATCATGTACTGCTCCTTAGTGCTCTTGGATCCAGGTTTATTTAACTGTCAGTTATGAATAGAATTGTCCTTTGATCAGCTTTGCCTGTTATGGAATCTATGCTTTTTCTGAAAGATAATAATGCTATTGTTTGTCATCTCCTGCTATTGCTTGCCATATTTTTTTACTTGGATACTGCAATGTGTTGTCGTTGGGACTACTCTTGAAGTCAGTTTGGAAAATGTGGCTCAACCAGTGTGAAATAGCGTGGCCTTTAACCTGGCCAACTCTATGGAGAATAGTATTGCCCTTTACTACAAGAATTCTCCTAGCTGTGTTTGTTTCTAGGACAATTTTGTGGTGATTATTTTAACCTTTAAAATCTAACATAGGTTCTGTCTAGAATAGCTGGGGGAAACATTCTCCCATGAATATCTCTCCAAGTCTTGGGATTTGAAAATGATTATTTCTTATAGGTACTTTTAGATGCCACACTGATTATGATTAGGAATAGAGGACATTTCATGATCAAGGTAGACAATCATCAGAAGCAGTGTTCTGTTCACAGCAAAAGTAGCCTGTTTGTTCTAATGCAAGCTTGCTTAATTTGTATTTGGCAAATTTGTCTGCTTTTGTTTCAGTTTTGGTCAGCTCGGAAGCAGTACTGCTTGCTTGCTTGTTGCAGTGATTTATATACCATCCCATTATTGTAAGGAACTATTCTGGGCAGTTAACAAACTAGCATAGCAAAGAAATAAACTGTAAACATCATAAAAATAAAAACAAATAAACTATTATAAATCTGCCTGATATCCCAGGCATATCACACTGAAAGCTCTGCATGCGTACAAAGGTAACATAGTGGGGAAGAAAAAATAATGCATTTATGTACACTATGTAATCTGACTTCCATTAGTGGATTCTCTGCTATTTGAAGTCAATAACATTTGTGGGCAGCTCCTTTTAGAAAGGCTTTTTTTTTATTTAGATAGGCCTTTTTTATAGTCTGCTATGAACTGTCATGAAATATCTTCCCTTTTCAGCAGTGCTGTTTGTATATAATGCATTTAGGCAATGTTTTTTTGCTATATTACCTCATAATTTTATTGTATTGAGTTGCTTTGAACACATGTTTAAAAAGAGGAACAATGCTTAATGAAGTGCAATCTGAGAGATCTATCATACCTTACTCTCTCCTTTGAATCACCAAATGTTTCCTTGAGATTGGAGAGTTTAGGATAGTAGGAGGCAGGTGGAGAAATAAGCTCCAGAACACCAGAAAGTACCTCATTTGGAAAGCTAAATAAATAAATAAAATAAAATAGAAAGAACACAGTATTCTTTTCAAATTAGCTTCTGTACAGAGCTGCAGGCTATGCATGGGATCAGGGGCTTATTTGCAGAGATGTTTGTAAGCATTGAAGGGGTTTGTGTATTTTTTAACAGAACCTGTTGCTTTCTCTGCTCATATGTTGTGGAGCTAGAAAAAGCAATCCTACAATGCACCTAGACTGAAGCCAGAGATGCAACACTGGACTAGGGCTCAGGAGACATGGGTTCAAATTCCTGTTCAGGTATAGAAACTCATTGAGGGTACAAATGGTAAAATGGTAAAAACTACACCTTAAATTCTTGACATACCTTGAAAATCCTACTAAGGTCCCTATAATTTGGATGTGACTTGATGGCAGATAAAGTGCTAGAAAAACATGCCCACATCCAGTACATACTCAGTTGAGAACATATGTGGAAGCATGGCTAAAGCAGTATCCCAACATACATCCTCTATCTTTTGTTTTCTTCCTTCCCATCACCCCCAAGTATATCTGGGGTGTTTCATCAGGATATATGGGATGTTCCAGCATCTTATTTGACATAGTGTCATTGTATCTGATATTTCTCCAGTGCAGCACCAATCAGATCATTAGAACTGTAACTGATCAGGAATACTGGGAAATTATATAATTCTTGCTAATCCATGGTAACAATCAGTGAAAGTTTACTCTTGGAGTGTCTTTTTAATGGCATGACATGATTTATTTTTCAGCTTCATAGACTGGCACATTAAGAAACACTAACCTGCTTCTGATGCTTTCTGCAATGTTGTTAACGTACTCTGAATCCACCTAGAAAGGTTAAAGAAAACTTCAACATTTCTCCTTTTTTATTTTTGTTTTTTGCAACCAAATATTAGACCAAACACCAGCAGAGGAAATCTATCTCATTTATTTTCTTCATTGTTCCCCTGACCCCAAACAATTAGAATTCTATTATGCAATATAAAAATGTATGTAGAAAGCAATTGCTTAATTGTTAATTGTACTATAAACAGGGGTAAGTTCTAAGCATTTTTGTCATACAGTTATGGGTATGTATTACTTTGGCAAAAAAACATGTCTATACTTTTTAACTGACAGCCATGAACTACATTAGTTCTCAGTAATAGGAGTCTAGCTGAGTTAATCACAAACCAGTTTTTCCTAACTTGCAGTGAGAAATTTTACAGAATGAAGCAGTTTCCTTGCCTCAGGACATCAATTTCCAACAGTTCTTTCCTAGCAGTGACATTATTATAAGAAATTCTGGTGAGAGACTTAGAGCTCATTCCCGTGACATAATCACGTGGGAGTGTGTGATAGCATCACATTTCACTGGACAGTCTAGATTTTGCCAGGATCACTTTGGTTTTTCAATTTTAAAACATGTAATAATGTCCAGGCATAACAAAAAATTTCCAAAATTAAAATGTCAGGCTCACTAATGCATTGCTGTAATCAGCAGAGAATAACCAAGATGGATCTCTTACTTTCATATTAAGGCAATAGTTCCCAACATGGCATCTACAGATGTCCTGTACTATAATTCCCATCATCCCTAACCAATTGGTAAAAATGGGAATTAAATTCTGATACATCTCAGGGCACCAGACTAGGCATGACCACTTTAAGGCAATCACACTATATAGGCAGAGTAGCTTGTGCAGTACTATACGTAAGCTATATGTCTATCACAAGAAAAATGATATAATATCCATATTATTAATTTTTTAAAAAACATTCTGTCTCTTCAGTTTCTATCCAAATTTTCAGTCCAATAATTGTGCTGAAAAACCTTTTGGAATGATTATCTTCCAGGTTTGCAACAGAAGTATGCATGAGAAGTTGCTGTATGTTCTTCGATGCTGCCTTGAAACATAGGGTGCGATCAGACAGCAGGAAAGGTGTGTATCAGATTGCACTGGAAAGGGTAACTGCAGGAAGCAATCTTCCTTAAAGTGACCTTTTAATTTTTCAGGGAATTACTCCAGCTCAACCCTAAAAAGAAGTAGCAACACAGCTGGACCTTTTTGGGTGTGGATTGGGGTCAAAGTGGAACATAATCCTCTGTATGTTATGTGATCGACCACTGGGAAATACTGTAGATTACACTGGACTGTTGCACAAGCAATCCAAAATGCAATCTATTCCCTCATGTGATCATACTCATTAATCAAGTGGACAGATTCTACCTGTGTCCTCTGCACTGACATATGCTGATACAACAGAAGCATCAGGAACAACTGTTTTCTCTAAGATCCTACATGCATTGCACTGCCTCTTTTGAACCAATGAACAGGTTTTCCTGAAGGCTTAAGAAGTGAGAGAACTCACAAAAGCATGACCTTCTGTTACTTGATATCCTTCCAGTTTTGGTGGCATATAGCCCTACATTCTAAACCAAGCAGCAAAATGACAAGATTCACAGTCAGATTTCTAACATGCAACACTGATTTTTTAAAAGGCATCCATTATCTAATTCTGTCATTAAAATTTATTCCGTCACTTCAACAATAAGCTCGAAGTAGATGAAGTAAAACACAATACAGTAGTCAGTATCTCGCTCATGCTGGTGTAACAAAGTTATGCTGGCATAAACATGCCAGGAATTACACAAAGCAAGAAGAAATAATGCTATGGAATTGTGCGACTGATCATGTGTTCCCAGCATGATCAGCAGAAGTGCTTCATGGATAGCACTTCTCCACACGTAACCTTGAGTTGCATATGCATAATTGCACAATAGGATTTTAGCCAACAATCCAGTGGGAAATAGGAGATTGGGAACTCTGCTCCTGATTTATGTGAATGTTGTCTACCACAAAGACAGGTGACAGTGAGACTATAGGGCTCATTGGACAAATAGGGACACACTGAAGGGATGTGGTGACGCTGCGAGTTAAACTGCAGAAGCCTCTGTGCTGCGAGGTCAGAAGACCAGCAGTCGTAAGATCGAATCCATGTGACGGAGTGAGCTCCCATCACTTGTCCCAGCTCCTGCCAACCAACCAGTTCAAAAGCATGTAAATGTGAGTAGATAAATAGGTACCACCTCGGTGGGAAGGTAAACAGCGTTCCGTGTCTAGCCCCGCTGGCCACGTGACCACGGAAACTGTCTATGGACAAACACTGGCTCTATGGCTTGGAGATGGGGATGAGCACCGCACCCTAGAGTTGGACACAACTGGACTAAGTGTCAAGGGGGACCTTTATCTTAGAGACACACTGGAAGCTGAACTCTCCTACTCAAGAAAGCAACATGCAAACCACATAACTGCATGAAGAGATGGTCAGAACACAAGCCTTTATAGCCTCCCCAGTGGCTCAAGCATGACACGCTCTCTTTTCTGTCCATTTCTCTATGACTCCTACCCTGGAATCCCAAGCACATAATCTAGTACTGAAGGATCCCTATGTTTGGGAGACCTATAATTCAGTGGTTGGCCACACTCTATAGAAAACAATTTCCACATGTATTTAATTCATTGTGTTTATATACTGCCTTTTAGCCAAAAAAAGAGAGGTGAGGTTGTAGTGTGCCTTACAACACTGTCAGTTAGAGCTGTCCTCAGTCTTAAAACCTAAAATGTAAGACACACAAAGAACTAAGAGATGTGTTGGGGAGTGGGATTAGTTCATCAGTTAGCTTTTCTTCTTCTGTGGTCAAACCAATGTTATTTGCCAGCAGGAGGGATAGGCATTAGAGGAGACCCATTGAATCAAATCCCAACTGATTCAATGGGCCTGCTCTACTGACTTACTATGCTAAACAACAGGATGTTATTCATTAATCATTAAATTACAATTAGTAAATAAAATACCTTTAAAACAATTTAAAACACATTTGAAAAGATAGAAAATAAAACTTCACAATTAAAACCTCTTTCTAGCAGCACTTTACTTATTAAAACCCTACCTAAAAAGAAAGCTCAGAGGTGGGGATAGTTTTGTCTCCTGTGGAAGGGAGTGCCACACAACCAGTGAGCAGCCACTGAAAAGGCCCTCACTCATATCTGCCCCAACTGTGCCTATGAAGGTGGAGAACAGAATGCTTCCCTCAAAGACCTTAAAACCTGAGGAGGCACATATGGGAAAAGGTGGGATATGGTCCCTCAGATACCCTAGACCAGTGGTCCCCAACCTTGGGCCTCCAGATGTTCTTGGACTACAACTCCCAGAAGCCTTCACCATCAACTGTTCTGGCCAGGATTTCTAGGAGTTTAAGTCCAAGAACATCTGGAGGCCCAAGGTTGGGGACCACTGCCCTAGACCCATGTCATTTAAACTCTGCCATTTACTGTTCCATCCAACTTAATAGAAGCATTTCTTCATGCATGCCCTCTATCATCATAGGAAAACCTTTCCTTGGTTATAAATGGTGACATTTGATCAGGTGAGCTTCATATTGATGAAGGCTACTGTTCAAAAAAATGAAAACTCCAGTAAAAGCTTCTGGATGGCTGGCTGTTCACTTCTGCCATCTTGTTTATACAGTAATATGTTTAATAGTATGTTAATAGTGTAATGTCTTGTACTTTTTAAATTGTTCTGTTACTTGTGTTTTAAAATGTTTTGGGTTGTTCATGGGAGAAAATAAACATTGTATTGCTAGCTTTCCTTTTTGTTTTCATGAACAATGCTAATGCTGTCTTACCTCTGCCACAAAGACAACTATCACACAATTCTTCTTCTGTTCTTTAGACATTCCATAGAAAAGAGAATTCAGTGTTTCCATCAAATAATTTTTTTTCTCTCTTCGTACTGTTGGAATGCCCATTACTAGGTAAACTGAAAAACAAGAGGCCTCTGGTTTGACCAATTGAGTTCACCATATCTTGCACTTATCATCATGACACAATAATTGGGATTAAGCAATACAATTACGATATATGTTGTTCTTAACATGGTAGTACTTAGCAGTTTTCAGAAATCAGTGAATCAGTTTATATCATTAATTCAGTTATAACAAGCTGTTTATATTAAATGTTGGACATAAACCAACACATACAATTCAGTTCTGTACTTGTCTACTCAGAAATAAGTTCCTGTGTTTGGTGGAACTTACCCACTGGTAAATATGTACAGGATTTCAGTTTTAAAATGCTTGTGCCCAACTGTGTTTGATTACATTCTTCTGATCTGATTCCTTCTTTTGGACGTTTACACTCTTCACCAGCTGTTCACTTTATTATGCTTTAAGATTTAGTATTCTTTAAGTAATGGATTTTACTTTTATTTATTAAAAACAAGATCTTGTATATGCATATTTATGTTAACATTTAGCCTATACAGTGGAACCTCGACTTGCAAACGTCCCTACTTGCAAATGATTCGAGTTACAAACGGCTCTGTTTGCAAAAAGTTGCTTCAATCTGTGAACAGAGCCTTGACTTATGAACCAAAAAAGAGAGAGAGAAAAAACCTTTCCTGCCCTTTTTTTGACCTAAGTTCATCTTAGGTCAAAAGAAGAAAAAAATAAAAAACCTCCCCCTAGTGGTAGAGTACGGATTAACCGGATTTGCATTAGTTCCTATGGGAACTAATGCCTCTACCTACGAAGAGCGCCTCGACATACAAACGCAAAACAGCAGATATGGATTAAACGGTTTTCAATGCATTCCTATGGACAAGTTTGCCTCAACTTACGAACTTTTTGACGTACAAACTTAATTCCAATATGGATTAAGTTCGTAAGTCGAGGTACCGCTGTATCATCATACTGGTTAAAAGGGGAAAAGACACAATGTGACATACCTACAAAAACAAAAAGAAGAAATAACTGCTTTGTATTTCCTGGCCTTACAATGTCATATGAAAGAAAGCACAACAGATAAAATAACAATCTTTAGGCAAACTTTCCCTGAGCGAAAGGCTGCAGAGTGGAGTTTTAAAAATGGATTGTTGTACCTTACTGCATTGAATGTGTTTTGATGTTGCTTATTTTAATTGGTATTGTATTCATTGATCCTTTTAGTATTGTATACTCACTGTCATTAGCTTAAATACTGTCTTTTAATTGTTGTAAGCTGCCTTGTGTCCATTTAAAGGAGAAAGGCAGGTTGAAAATAGTTACATAAATAAATAAATAAATTCTTTTCTCACATATTTACCTGTTGTGGTTTATTCTTTGCTGAAGTTAATTTACACCAGAATTATACAAATGAAGTCAATTTACACAAGTTTACATTCAATCACAGAAGAATTCAGACACATACACCCTTTAGCAGCTATATGCACTGTTAGCAGCTGCCCCTGCTAAGATAAATCCTCTAGATAAGAGGTTCTTTCCCTATTTTAATCATATGCAGAAACGATAGGTCAGGGGCACGGAACACGGGGCCACCCAGATATTTTGGACTTCGTTACCCATCCTTGGTGGAAATGATGTTGCTAAAGTCCAAAACATCTGGACAGCTGAAGAATTCCTCTTTCATCCTTGCTTCTGCGTTAAGCAGACTTTTGCATGAGGCAGCTCTACACTGAACTGCCAGACACAGGCTTTTAACAAAGAACAGGGTAACAGAGTCATGAGGAGATGTACTAAGCAGGAGTTGCTCAGTCATGAAGCTTGTTGGGAAGCCTTGGACATATTACTGAACTATTTGGGACGCAACTATATGAGCAGCGTGCTTGTTCGTGTGCCTTCAGCAACTAATTACCAAACTACATAAGCAAGGACTTTGTTTACTGTCAGCAGCAACAGCACATGTCTATCATCACAACTATGTGTTAAAAGGTGACCCAGTGCTGAAGTCAGTATGCAATCCCAAGAGTTTTACGTAAGCAACAGAGTGGAATATGCCATCTTTCAGGTCTCCTGACCAGTAGATGTAGCTGGTGTACACATATGCCAGATGCAGGGGCGTGGTATCAGGAGACAGGTATGTAGTTGTCTCATGTGCTGCCTGAGGTATCTGGTGGGGCCACTGTGAGACACAGGAAGCTGGAATAGATGGGCCCTTGGCCTGATCCAGCAGGGTTCTTCTTATGTTCTTATGTACATTAATAAAATCTACATGCACTGAAATTAATGGGAAATGTTGTTCCAGGAGATCGTGCCTTGTGCATGCATTAGAGTTCTAATGCCAGGAACAGAAGCAGACTATGTGTTTTTACAAGTATTGAGCATTAAATGTTATTCTCACCCCCAGTCCTTCCTTGTCCAATTATGACATTGGGATAAATACTGTCTTCATGCCCCTGGAGATGAGGCAAATAGTAGTAGATATTGGTAAGGTGTAATGGGAGCTCGTTAGTGGACTTCAATGTCTTCCATTTCATGGAGTCTTTGAAAAGAAAGAAATAGAACATATAGATACTTCACACGTAATAATTTAAATAACTGCCCGCACACCATTCCCGAAGTGTTGACATCATGCCTGCCTGGGTGCTATTATATCAGAAGATGCAAAAGCATAGATGGGCATTGAGATGTTTTTGGCTTATGACTTCCATCAACCAGCATAGCCAATGATGCATTATGATGGAAGTTATAATCCAAAAATATCTGGAGGGCCATTCTTCTTGATTCAGTACTGCTTAGAAACCTTTGTTTGATGGCCTAACTGCAGCACTGTGGCACAGGTTAACTATTCTGATGCATGCCCTTATGGAATGAATCTTATTATGAAAAATTGCATATGTAAGGGCCAGCACACAGTTTTTGCTCTCTCCTGTATGATTAGCTGTGCAATGGACAGCCAGCAAAATCAAGCCCACCAGTTGCGTGATTTTCCACTATGTTCTTACATTTCAAACAGAATTATAGTCATTGCTTATACTCCTTAGTTACCAATTATACTACTTATCTTGCAATATAATCAACATTTTAAGGTTATAACTTTATCGAAGAATAAATCCCACTGAACTCAGTGGAGATTGCTTCTAATTTAACAGATTTAGAATTACTCTCTGAATTTCATGATTTATAAATCAAGGCAAGGCTTTCTCAGTGGTGGTACCCAATTTATGGAACTCCCTTCTGTCACAAGCCTCGTCTTTATTTCAGTCATTAGAGACCATGGCTACTTCATTGAAATTTCACACAACCATCCATAGTCCTGACTCCCAAGTTCCAGCCCATCTGAGGTTACTTCCAATTTCTCAGCTACAAGGAACATATTGAGAGAGAGAATGAACCTGATCACAGATAAACTGGAAGAGGCATATTTCCACACTTCTCACTCATTTGGCCAATTCCACATTTAAATAATGAACTGCTGCCAATCTGCATACTTGGCCCCTCAGCAGTAACAGATGCAAAGATGGATTGAGTCAGTTGCCCAGATAAAAATCAATATTATCCACTGTACTTTTATTTGGGGATGTTGCTATAAGAGTTCCAATTTACACTGAGAAAAGAAACAAAATAATTTGGTCTGGCAAATGGACACCTTGGCTCTCGCAGGTCTGATGATAGAAGAATATGTTTGTTCTTTGATTAAGAGAAACACTAAACAAATATTCATATATAAAAATTTATTTTTGTTGAATGCCTGCGAGTATTGCTTTTGAAATTTAGTATGTGTACTGCCTTTAATGTTCCAAGGGGGTATACACGAGTGACTCTTCTATTACTCTTAAAACACTAAGAGTTTTTTAAAAGATTTTCTGGAAAAAAAATTTAAACCCACCACTTGGGATAAAGGAGAGATCGGTGGACTCAATATACCTCTAAATCTTTTCCAATTTTCTAACATATTTTTAAGGAAAGGGTTAGTAATCTTTTTAATCTCTTCTCCAATTTTTAATTTAAACAGTATACTTTAAATTCTTTCTTCCTTACCCTGCATTTCAATTTCTATCCAACTTAAATTTTTATTACTTTTAACAATATATGGAATATGTCTGAGCTGATTTGCTATATAATTTTAAATTCGGTAATCCAAGACCTCCCTTTTTGTGTTACATACCATAATTTCTTATTAATCCTCACTTGTTTATTTCCATTGCAATAATTTATCATTATATGCCATTCTTTCAGTTGTTTTTCTGTGGGTCCTGATGGCAATTTTTAGAGTACTGTATCTATTTTAATTGTATTTAATTGTTTTATCTTTAATTGTATTTTAATTGTTATAAGCTGCCCAGAGACCGTTGGATAGAGTAAGTGGCATATAAGTCAAATAAATAAATAAATCTTTAAAGGAAGCATCCAAAATATAAAATTTAATTTAGAAATAATTTTAATTTTGCATAATGCCACTCTATCAAACCAAGAAATCTTTAATTTCTGATAATCTTTTACTCTTCCAGTTCTCTTTTTTCAATCTATCCAGATTTATTTTAATTATATCTTGTAAATTCCAAGTAATATTAATCCCTAAATATTTAATAACATTTTCCATTTTATCTTCAAATATTGTTTTCATTCTTATTTTAACAATAAACATTCTGACTTTCCCCAATTTACTTTTAATCCCGTTATACCCTTCAATTCCTCCAAATGTGATTTAAGTCTTTCTGTTGTTTCTTTTGGATTTTGAACTATTAGTACTGTGTCATCAGCAAACAAGTTTATCTTACCATTTTCTTTATGTTCTATCCCTACAATCTGTTTATCATCTCTAATTATCTGTGCCAATGATTCTATTATCATTGTAGATAATACTGGAGATAAGGGGCAACCTTGTCCTGTACCTCGGCCTAGCTGTTTTGTCTCAGTTATTCCATCATTAACTATTACTCTATAACTGTATTCTGTGAATATAATTGGTGAATTATCTGCCTAAAATTAGGTCCAACCCCTAGATATTTAATTAATGTCTTTAATGTATCCCATTCCACTGAATCAAATGCTTTAAATATGTCTAACGATAGTACTCCGGCTTTAGAGTTAGTTTATTTAGCTAAATGTATTAAATTAAGTAGCCTTCTCATTAAATCTGACACTTCTCTGCCTTGTATAAATCCATTTTGGTCTTTTTCAATATAATTCCCCATAAAGTTATTTAATCTCTTTGCCATTATTGCCGTGAATAACTTAGCATCTTGATATATCAATGATATGGGTCTAGATGCTTCCATATTTATTGGATTTTTACCTGGTTTCAATATTAAAGCAATCAATTACACTTTCCATGATTGTGGGATTTCTTCTCCCATTAAATATCTTATTAAATAACACTTTTAACTTTGGTATAAGAATCTTTCTAAATACTTTATAATATTCTGGGCCTAATCCATCTGTTCTGGGGATATTTCGTTTCTTTAAGTAATTTATAATATCCTCTATTTCTTTATCAGTAATTAACTGTTCCATTTTATTTTTCTCATCATCTAACAGTTTTTTATTAAAATTGTTTTTATATTATCTTCAATTTTCATTATAGAAGAATTTTTACTAATATATAAAGTTTTATAAAATGTTTGAAATGCTTCCAACTTCTCCTTCATTTTATTACATCTTTTTCCATTCAAATCTTGTATTACTCCTATATTACAGTGGTGCTCCGCATAGCGATGTTAATCCATTCCGGATTAACCGTCGCTATCTGGAAACATGGCAATGCGGGGGGGAAACCCCATAGAAACGCATTAAACTTCATTTAATGCATTCCTATGGGGCGAAAACTCACAGTTATGCGAAGATCCTCCATAGCGCCGCCATTTTCGCCACCTTGGTAAGCGAGGAAATCGTGCAAAAATGGTTGCGGTGGCCATTTTGGGCACCCAGCGGCCATTTTGGAACCGCCAATCAGCTGTTCCACAAACATCGCAATACGAAGATCGGTAAGCGAAACGCTTACCGATCATCGCAATGCAATGTTTAGGCTATTAAAACATCACAATGCGATCGCATCAGTGATTCAAAAACATAGATTGCTATGCGGATTCGTCGTTAAATGGTGCGCTCATTATGCGAGGCACCACTGTACTTTTATTCTTTTTTATAGAAGATGCTTTAGCTAATAACTTGGAGTTCCTGTTACTAAATTCAAAAAAATCTCTTTTTAGATCAATTAAGTTTCTTTGTACCTATTCCAGATGAATCCCTTCCAGTTCCTTCCTCTTTGTTTGTAATTCTATCATAGCTGTCTTATCTCTAGTTCTTATAACTATTTTTTCTAATTCCTTTATATTATCTTCTAAGTCCTGTATTTCCCCCACTGTTTTTAAGTACAGTATATAAGACGCTTTACATTCATACCCTCCTGCCACTAACTTCATAGTGTCCCAGATTATCTTAGGTTGACCTCCTCCATTCTCATTTATTTCCCACGTTTCTTCTAAATCTTTTTGAAATTTTTCAATCAGGTCTCAATACTGAAAAATATTCGTATCAATTTTCCACCTTACTGCCTCCTTATAATCACAATTCCATATTCACTCTGACATGATCCGATATCTGGATGACTTCAATGGCTGTATCATTTACCCTTGGCAGTAAATCTTTAGAGACAAATATATAATCTATTCTTGACTATGTATTATGCACCTGTGAGTGGAAGGAGAACTTTCTTTCTTCACCCTTTAATTCTCTCCAAGCATCCTTCAAATCTGTTTTATTAATTGCTCTATTTAATATTGTACATTAAATTTTTCCTTTCACAATTTTGATTTATCCTTCTTCATATCCATTACCATGCTAAAATCTCCTGCTAATATCATGAAACCTTTCCTCAATTTACTCAACCTTCCCAATATATTTTCAAAAAATTCCTCCTGTCTCTCACTGGGTGCATAAACTTTTACAAGTGTAATATCTTCTCCTTTTATTTTACCTTACAATATCAGATATCTGCCTTGACTATCCTTTTCCATTTTTTCAATTTTAAATTCACATTTTTTAAATATTAATATTGCTACTTCCTGAGATTTTTGAAGTCCCAAATGATTTTTCATAAATTTGAATCCACTTGCCCTTCAGTTCATTAAAACTCTCCTTTTTTGATGAGTTTCTTGCAAGAATACAATATCCATATTACTTTTATTCAATACATTTTGTATCCTAGCCCTCTTCGTGTTAGAACCCAGGCCTTTCACATTCCATGTTGAAAACCTTAAGTGTTTAACCATTCTCTAGTTTATTTTTAAAATTAATACTAGTCCTGATTTGTGACTGTCAACTATAGTGCTCCCCCAATAACATTTTTTAAAAAAAAAAACTTGAATTCCTATTGAATTCTTCTACCACCCCCTTCCCCTCTACTACTTTTCTTTCCACCATCTTCTATCAGATTCTTCTGGTCTCTTCTAGAGACCCTGGGTGGGGGAAATGTGTCTGGTCCTACCGGCCGCCACTCTCTCCCTGTCTCACTCTATTATATTATAGGAACCCCATTTTACCAAAAGCATATCCATAATTACTTTTTTTATATATCTTTGTTCAAATATTCATATATACATTTCTTCATATCAGGTATATAACTATCTATTATGTTTTTATGTTTTTCTTACCAGAATTCTCCCATTATTTGTTTTTCATTAGAAATCTTATTTATTCTTCTATTACCGGTCTCCCATTTTATAATCCTTTTATCTCAATTTCTTCCTGATTTTTCCTCCTTTTCTATACATTCCTCACCCAAATTTATAATTAACCATCACTGGCTACCTCCTTAGATACCTCCTTAGATATCTTCTTCCAATATTACTATACCATTTTCACCTTTTCCTGGATTCACCCCTTATTATTTTATCCCTTTATATTATACAATGCAATTACCAGAACATCTCCTTTTACATCAAATGAAATTTTACATTAAAGCTATTATCTCTTATTCTCTTGATTTTCCTCTTCCTTTGCCCTTCCTCAGTTGTTTTGGTTTCACTCCTTGTTTTTGTTGTTCTTTTTCCTTATCACCATCAATCGAGTCTCACTCCATCCCTTCCTCTTCATCCAACTACTGACTTTGCCCTAGGCCCTCCACCATCTTAATTTGCTCCTCCCACTCTTCTTTTGTTAAAATTCCAGAGTCCTTTAAAAGATCCAAAGTCATTGAGACTGATGTAACCTTATGAAATTTTCCATTGTAATGCACCTTTAAAAACATTGGGTAACCCCAACTATATTTGACATTTTTTTAAAGGATAGAAGTAATAACCCTCATTTGTCTTCAAAATACCATAGTTTCATGACAATAATCATTAAACACTTGAATTGGGTTTCCCTCAAATACCAAATTCCCTGGATTCTCTCTTAAAATTTTCATCAGTTCCTCTTTTTTTCTATGGCTTGAAAATCTAATCAGAATATGGCGCGGCTGTCCTCTGCATCTTGAACTGAATCTATGTAATTTTATCCAAATCATAAACAGTCCAGTCTATTTTTGGTGCCATCTTTTTCAACCAGGCTAGGGCTAGTTCAGTTATGTACTTCTTCTTGGAGACCAAATCCGGGATTCCTTTTAATCTAATGTTATTACGAGGATTATAATCATGTGATAAAAATCATCTGCTGCTGTAAATCTGTAATAGCGATTTCATTGTACAATAATCTAACAAAATTTTGTTTAACTTCTGATTGCAATCCCTCAACGTTTTCATCCATTTTTAAAAAATGAGAATCAATTTTTTAATTTAATTTTTTATAATTCTCTTGATTGGTCTTAACGTCCTTTCCAACATCTCGTAATTTTACCCCCATTTCTTGTAAGTTTGACCCATATTTCCCACTTTTTTACCCATCTTTTCCATTTTTTGGTCCATATTTTCCATTTTTTGACCCATTTTTGACATTGTTTCATTTCCATGATGTTTTCATTCACCTTTGCAATTGCATCCAACATTAACTTCATCTCAGATTTATCAGCTTTTTGGGCCATTTCTACTTCTGCTTCTATTTCCACTTTTGACAATCTCACCAGATGGGAATCTGAAGGTTTAATTCTTGATTGTGCTAAATAATCTCTTTTCCATACAAGTTTACTCTCCTGTTCAGACTGAGCTTTCCTTATAAATTTCCTGGAGTCTTTTTTTCTCTCTTGAACTATTATTTTAGCTGTTACCAGCAGATGAAGCCTACTAACTTCCGTATATGTTCAAAGGTTAAGGAATGTTACGTTTTGTTTCTCTGTGGATACGTTGCAGCCTAATTCAGGATGCCAAATGCTTAAATTATTTCATAGTTAGGTGTGACGATCGCCCCACATCACTCAGGCAATTCATAGTCATGAGCAAATTTGCATGAGCCTATGAGAGAATTGGAGAGGTGGAGTCAGCAGCTACATAAGGTTTGGCAGGAGAAGGAGAAGTGAGAAGTGAGAAGGAATTTCAATGCATTCATATGAGATAGAGATAGGGATAGAGATCCAGATAGAGATAAGGGCTGGTTAGTCAGAGAGAGATACTGAGGGAAAGGACTGGTTAAGAAAATAGGTAGAAAAGGTGGTAATGATACTGAAGGAGAGAAGTATGTACTGAGAGAACTGTTAATGATTTCCTTCTGTGCAGTGTTTATCTGAAGAACTTCTGTGATTATAAAAACTGCTTCCCTTCAATAAATAAGTTCTGTTTGTATTCACAAGATAAGTGTCCTGACAAACATCATTTATATTGTGGATTGAGGTAATCCACTGGTGGCAGCGAGAGGAAAATGCGTTGTGAGCCTTTATGAGGTCAAAACACGTAGGTGCCACAAGGGTAAACGCCACATTAGGTTCTTTATTTCTTTCTTATTTTCTTACTCCCAGCAGCTGTTTAAAAGCAAAATCCAGCTTCAGCTCATGGATAAATATTTTCCCCAGCAACTAAGAGATAAAAAATTTTGACTGGTCCTTTTACAAACACAGTCAGTCCGTTAATAAGCAGTTTAAAAAGATTTTCTTGGCTAGCTGTGGTGGGAACCTCCCCTCCCACAGGAATCCCTACTGGGGGTGGCTCTTCCTCCTCACACACCAGCTGCCACTCGTTTTTGTTTTTAAAACTGCTTTTATAGTCCACTCTTGTTGCCTCAAGGATATTGTAAATATTTTAAAGTCACTTACAGATCCATGAGCTCTTCTTTTGCTGCCCCATGTAGATTTCAGAGTGAGAACTCCGGGAATTTCAAGTTGCGGCCATCAAGAGCCAGGACACGCCCCCATGGGCGTTGATTGTGACCCCAGACCAAGTACAGATTTTCAAGTTTCCAGATCAGCCTTAGCTTTTGCCTTAGTAATAGTTAAATGGTCCTTCCTTTGGAACTCGTACCCTTTACCCCTGCAGTTTGCTAGTAACTCCACTCTACAGCATCACATCATACATTTCTAATATACTCATGTACCTCACTTGACAGGGTTGTTCACACTCTGCGTTTGATGGACAGTCCAGTCCAAGTTGAAATTAAACAAAAGGGTTTAAGGAAAAGGGTGAGCAGAGCCCATCAGCACAGAGAAAGCAAACTATGTAGGTATATAGATGCACTGCAGTATTTATCTGAAAGAGATGTACTGTATCATATTTCTAATCAAATCATAGTAACTGTATTTTGCATTTATACTTTTACATATTTGCATTTATACATGTAAAATATCTGCAGCCTTCTGTCGTCTCCTCTGTGTGTGTGTGTGTGTGTGAGTGAGTGTGTGTGTGTGTGTGTGAGTGAGTGTGTCCCATCACTTTGTCCCAGCTCCTCGCCAATCTAGCAGATCGAAAGCATGTAAATGCGAGTAGATAAATAGGTACCATCTCGGTGGGAAGGTAAAACGGTGTTCCCTAGTCACGCTGGCCACGTGACAACGGAAACTGTATTCGGACAAGCGCTGGCTCTACGGCTTGAAAATCGGGATGAGCACCGCCCCCTAGAGTCGAACACAACTGGACTAAAAATGTCAAGGGGAACCTTTACCTTTTACCTTACAAATACGAAACTACAATACTTAATAGAGACCCACTTTCTGTGTTTGTGTTTGTGTATGTGTGTGTGTGTGTGTGTGTGTGTGTGTGTGTGTGTGTGTGTGTGTGTGTGTGTGTGTGTGTGTGTGTGTGTGTGTGTGTTTCCAGGGAGGGTTCGAGCTGCTTGGTAAGGTAAGGTGATGTTTCCTGTTTTTTAAAAACTGTTCTGGGTGTTTTTGCAGCATGGTTTTGAGCTGGGGGGTTATGTTTCTGTGGTGTGATGGGGAGTTTGTCTTTTTTTTGTTCCCCTCCCCCATTTCCAATGGGTCTTGGGGTTTTTTGTTGCTTTTTAGAGTGTTTTTCCCATTTCCAATGGGTCTTGGGGGGTTTGGTGTTTTTTTGGGGGGGTTCTCAATTTCTGATGGGTCTTGGGGGTTGGTTGCTTTTTGGGGGGTTCCTCCATTTCTGATGGGTCTTGGTGGTTATTAGTTTTTTGGCTCCCCCCATTTCTGATGGGTCTTCAGGGGTTTGGTTGCTTTTTGGATTTCCCCCCACTTCTGATGGGTCCTGTATGCTTCCCTTGCTTTTTCCTTTGTTTCCTTTGCATTTCCGACCTGCCCCCTTTGTTCTCTGTGCATTTCTGATCTGCTCTGTTTGTTTTCTGTGCATTTCCAATGGGTCTTGCACACTTGATTGCTTTTATTCCCCCCTCCCTCGGCTAGAAGGGATTAATCACATTTCCAATGAGTCTTGCAGTGATTTTTTTAAATTTATTTTTTGTGACTTTTTTCTTCGGCCAAAACGGATTAATTGCATTTCAGTGCATTTCTATGGGAAATGATCTTTCGACTTACGACCATTTCATGTTAGGTCCATCTTCTGGAATGGATTATGGTTGTAAGTCGAGGCACCACTCTATGTGGCCAGCCTATACACTCCTATAAAGTCAACAGTTCTCCAGAGAGTTCTGAAGGGACAGGCTTATCTTCTGCTGCTGCTGTTTTGTTTTGTTTCAAGGAACATGTAAAATTTCAGTCAAAGAAAGTCCCACACAAACCTGTAACATTTACAGAAATGTTAGGTGCCTCACCGATGACTCTTATGATTTCATTCAGGGCAATGTTCAGCTCATGGGATCTTTTTTTGTTTTCTTTTTCAGCATATAAGAGTCTTTGGCGAAGTTGCAAAAGTTGTTTTTCATAAAACTTTGCACCACTTCCTAGAATTATAAAAGATAATGATTTTTTTCAGAAAAGGATTTAATTGTGGGCCACAAGAGTTCATACAGTTAGCAACAGGATAGAAATTAAAATACTCTTTACAAGCTACATTCAAGTCTTGCTGGATAAAGTACATAGGTATCCTTTAGCAAATGAAAGGATTAATATACTTCAGCATGATATTTATCTGATAAGGAACTGCAGTGTAATCAAACCCATTTTATAACCCTATGATATAAAGTATTTATAGATCAATACATTCAGTCCTTTAAGTAAAATACAAACATAAGCTGATCACATTGATAAAGTTAAGTTTCTCTCAACTCCTTTCCACAATACAGTAACCAACTTGTCACCCATTGTAAAATTAGGCCATGGATTTATGAACCTACTTTCCTTTATGTCTCCCTAAGGTGCTTTACAAGAAACTAGTTAAACACTGCTATTACAAACTCTCCCTGACTACTGAACAATATGTATTGTAACTGAATCTCATGTAGGCTTTGTCCTGAAGAAATGACACAAATTCACAATGAAAGCCTTTCCCAACAGTATCACCAAATAAGGCTGCCTTTATATTGGAAAAATATTGTTGCTGAACATTGGGCCTGATTTTCATGTAGTCGATGGGAACACAATAACTGGCCAAATACAAAGAAGCTTGTCTTCTATGGATGCTTCATAAATATTGTAAAGCACTTATTGAATTAATATATAATTAATGCATTGTATAAGTGTATACTAATACAAGCAATTTGTGATCTGTCCCTGTCCCCTGAGTTACTAGATCTATCCAGTCAGTAAAGTAATTATGTTGTTGTTATGTAGCATCAAGTTGCTTCCGAGTTATGACAACCTTATGAATTAATGATCTCCATATGCTGTATCATTAACAGGCTTGCTTGGGTCTTTAAAGTAAAAGCTGTGACTACGTTTATTGAATTAATCCATCCCTGTCTGGTCTCCTCTTTTCCCACCACCTTCTATTTTTCCTACCTACATTATCTTTTCCAGCATGTTTAATCTTCTCATTATATGCCCAAAGTATTATAGCCTCAGTTTAATTACATTAGCGTCTAGTAAAAGTTCAGGCTTGATTTAAACTTCTTATATGCCACCATGTCACTTTATGTTGTTTCTGACTCATAGTGTTGTTTTTGTCTGAGTTTTATTTGCAGCCTTGCACCTTGTCTATAGTTTGTATGGCTGGGAGAGATTTTTCTAGGCTGGGATGATTATCTATTCATCCAGCACTAACTGTTCCCTCCAGTCTTTGAATTAAAAGAGAGTCCTGCCTCTTTGCTCAGTGTTCTTCTTTCCTTCTTTTTAGTCAGTCAGAGACTGTTGTTTGTTTGCTGTTTATCTGTTCAGTTGGTTGATAATTATGTGTGCAATAACCATACCCAAGCCTATATTTCAAGCAAGTGTACGTAATGTTTTTGTTCTTTCTCCTACAAATACCTCAGAGTGAGTTACTGAGATTTTAAGTACCAGTTAATAAGAAAGGGGTGGACTCTGGGGAACGTGTAGCTATTCTTTGTACTTCTGTTGCACAGAAAAAGAAACTTTATCAGAAATTCAAAACTCTGCAACAGCTTTAACATATAATTCTCAGCAGTGCTTTACCACTTCCTCCTCCTGATACTGGTATGGGAAAACACAACTTGCCAAGGTTTCACAAGTGGCAGGTCATGTAACACCACTGGCCACACATGCTCTGTGTGACCTTGACTGGCCTCACTCCTTGGGAAGCACAGTGGAGTATTGTACATTTCATAAGTTCAACTCTTCTCTGTAGAAATGTTGTACCTTTAGCACATCTGCAGAGCTTTCTCAGTTGCCTTTGGAACTAGAGAGTCTCGTTTTTCCTGGAAAAACAGAGCCAGTGCTTTCAACTTCTGCACACACTGACCAAGCGCAAGCCCTTCTTGCTGCAGGTAGATCTGAGCATCATTCACTTCAGTTAGTACTGGCCTCCAAAAATGCAAGAATGAGAAAAAAGGATAGGTCTTGATGGAAACAGACTTCGTGCATCATCTTTGGTCTCAGGGGCTTCTTCTGGATCATCTTGGAACACTTCCAAAGCTTGCATTATTTCCTTCATGTGCTCAGCAAGTATGTGTACAGCTTCATGTTTTGAACTCCATCTTGTGTCACATGATCACTTTACTTGAATTGGTACATGTTCCTTAAGAAAATTCCACCTATGGGTGGACTTTGAGAAGAATGTTTACATCTTTTCCACATTGCCAAAGAAAGTCACAGACTGTATCCCAACCAGCTGCATGCACACCAGCAAGATTGGGCGAGTGACTGTTACATGACACAAAGACTTCTTTGAGATTCATATCCAAAATACGTTTCTGTACACCACTGATGTGTTCAGCCATAGTTGTGGCATCGTCATATCCTTGCCTGCAGCAGTGCTCCAGTTTAAGACCATCTGCTTGCAACTTGTGATAAATCTGTTTTGTAATGTCATCAGCTGATTTCCCATGTAACTGAATAAAGTCAATGAAAGGCTCTACCATGCTGACGTCTGTATCTTCAGTTTGCACATATCGAATCACTTGGGACATTTGATCAGTGTGAGAAATATCCAGAGTGATATCAAACATGATGGCAAAATACTTGGCCTTTGCAATTTTTTGAAAGATGGCAATTCTAATGTGATCACTGAGCAATCTGGCTCTGTGGAGAGAGACAAGACACAACATATTCATCTCTCTGCTGGACTTTTTGAAGATGCTGATTGGCAACTGGTTCATATTTGGAAATTAATTTGAAAGTTTCTAGGAAATTTTCACAGTTACCATCTGTGCTTGGATCGTCTGAGTGACTATATAAAGGTAAGGTTTGCCTGGCTAGATACAGCACACAATCAAGTATTCTGGCTATAGCTGCTTTGAATTCCTCAGATGACCTCTGTTGTGCAAGCTGTACAGCAGCATCAATAGTGTCTCATTTCTGTAGCCACTTCTTTCAACAATGTAAATGCACTGAGGTGATATGAACAGCGCTCATGCTCTAGTAATCTGGGGTTTAGCTTTCTTCATGTATTAAATCTACTTGGCTTTCAAAAATAACTTTTCTCTTTGGCCTTCAGAAAAATCATGCAAGGAAAGTAATATGCAACATAGTTTACAGGAGAAAACACCAACAATGTCCTTAACATAGTCTCACCGTTGTCCAAATTCAAGTAGAATAAATTATTGGGAAATGATTTGCTCTCATTGTCTTTTCAAAACAATGCATCTTCATTTTGCAGTTCCACTGTCCCTCTCTTGACAAATTCAGTTTTCAAAGTTTTATCCACAGTTTTAGGTCAATAGCTGATATCAATGAAAACTTTAGGCCAATTCTCTTTGGCAGAATATTTGGCTGAGCAGAAGTAGAAGCATCCTTAGGGAAAGCGGTTTCTGCTTCTAACGCAACAACGGGAATGTCCACAGACACTGGATCAGGCTTGTGAGGCTCCTGTGGTGCTGCTGGTGAGCCTGGTGTACTTTCAGCAGTATTAACAAGAAACCTGTTGAGGCTTCCAGCTAGCTTTAGCCAGTTGGTCCTGCTCTATCTTCCTCCTCTTCCTGCCTTATGCACCTGACTCTTTTTTGTTTGGCATCATGGCTGACATGGCATGTGTAGATGTGCAGTAATATGCCAAAACAAACAAACAAACAAACAAACACCAACATTTATTCACTTTTATACCTTCCTCCATTTTTACTTTTTACCACTAAGAAATGACTTAACCATAAGAAATGACTACTGCGTCAGCAAAACAATTAACACAACAAAAGCAAAAAGAAAAGAAAACTAACCTGTTATCACACCAGAATAACAAAATTCACAAAACGACCAAACTCCTATTGGCACAAACACAAACTGGCAACAGCATCATGTTTTACCTCTGTGTTGGAATACTAAATTGGCAGGAACGTTACTTGGTGATGGAGGAGAAGCAAGGATATCCAGGCACCTGTTTCAACTTGGATGAATTTTTAAATTATGGGTTTTTATACAATTTATGGAACATGACACCTTCAAACCACTGACAACAAATCATGGTATTAATAGGCATAATGTAATTCACCAATAAGGATTCCATGAGGAGAGTATGGCTATAATTAGCAAGAAAAATACTGTAAAATGTTACATGGCAACATTTATTTGCTCCATCATGTTTAAAAACTATATAGCATGTTTGAATATTGGGAGATTTTCTGTGTGAAGAGGAGGGTGCATTATTTTTTTTCATTTATTATTACTACTTTTTTTTTTAAAAAAAATTGCACCCCTAAGAATTTTGCAACCACCCCTGTGAGCCTTTCCCACACTGCACCACATATCTGAGCTATGCAAAGCATACAAAAGTGCTGCTTTGATTTTATTGTGAAACAAAAGGCAGTGGCTGTGAGATCTCTGGGCAACAATATAGGTAAAGCTACTGCAGCTCTGGGAATATTGTTGTTCTGTTAATTGTTACTGTAAATTATCTGGAGAAAAACACACATGCATATATACAGTCTATATATAAATCTACAGATAATGGCTAACAGCAATTACAGTATATCACAGAAGTGACTACACCCCTTCACATTTCATAAATATTTTAATATATCTTTTCATGTGACAACACTGAAGTTTACAACATGATAATGACCCCAAACACACCTCCAAAACAACCACTGTCTTGCTAAAGAAGCTGAGGGTAAAGGCAATGGACTGGCCAAGCATGTCTCCAGACCTAAACCCTATTGAACCCTATTGTGGGGTGCCCTGAAATGGAAGGTGGAGGTGCACAAGGTCTCTAACATGCACCATGATGTCGTCGTGGAGGAGTGGAAGAGGACTCCAGTGGCAACCTGTGAAGCTCTTGTGAACTCTATGCCCCAGAAAGTTAAGGCAGTGCTGGAAAATAATGGTGGCCACACAAAATATTGACACTTTGTGCCCAGTTTGGACATTGCCACTTAGAGGTGTACTCACTTTTGTTGTC